TTTAAGCGAACTATCGCAATCTTCTCGCGGACATTTTATGCGAGGGCCGCTATCTTCGAAATGGGAACGTACATGTTTTTCAAAAGATTGATTGCTACGTATTGCTTTAGCGCATACGTGGCATACATTTGGGGCTTTACGATGGCATGAGTTGATATGAATTTGTAGAATATATATTGTATATATGGCGAAGCTAAAGGAAAACAATGCCCTGAGTCAAAAAATGCAATAATAACAATATGGGAGCAATAGTTACGCTTTGGGCGGTTCACATGTATTGCAGAAAAAGAATCGTTGAAAATTAGGAACATGTTTAGATTTGTGATGCTGTAATAAATTATGTCTAGCAAATTTTCGTGGGCAGATATCATAAGCAAAATTTAAGTTCTTCTCGGGTTCATGGTATTGTAAATGGTGATCTTTAAGGCCAGACTTATTAGAAAATGTCCGACCGCATTTTTCACACCTGTAAATGTATTCAGTTTTAGTTGCCATCGATAAAACTTCAAAAAGGCAATAATAAGTACATAAAACAATTCGGGTCCTCATGCTGTTGGACATGTTGTATTATATCTGAAGGACAATTAAGTTTCCGCGTACAACATTTAATGTACGACTCCATGCCAGGATGTTGTGCTTTAAAATGCTGAGTTAAATCAGTGAAATCAGTTCCTGTGTAAGGATAGAGGTCACATAACATTTTTAAGTGCTTTTTTATAAGATTTTCATTTTCCAGCAATGAAAATTTAGCTTTAGCACGCTGTTTTTTTGGTCGTTTTTTTACTCCGTCTCTCTATGAACTAATTTTTGCAGCTGCTCCAGAATTTTTATCCTGCTCTTCTAAATTGTTCATTCGATTTTCCGCGAAAATTGATTTACTTCTGAGTCGTCTTAGGCCTTGTCTTTTCGGTTCAGTTGTGTTTGTTGTTTCCTTAGTCATTTCACATTTGGAAAATTATTAATGCATATACCTTATCCCATTTCTAATGTAATGTAATGTAATGTATTTTAAAAACATAGGCTTTTGTATGATTGGCGAGTATTTGAATTAAAATGTTCAATTTTAGAGTTAGAAAAACCAGTGCTCAAATATGGGCCTTGTACGTAACAGGCGTTCGATTTATTGATTCTTTGCACTTTTTCGCGACAAACAAGTTGAGGTTTTTCAGTGAGAAAATTTCTAAAAAATATAATAAAAATAAATATATTACTGAGACATCAACCAGTTGTCGTTTGTGCAGATCACACAAATCATAGTAACTAACGGACGAACATTCTCTAGTAAAGCAAGAAGAATAGTGCGAGACAATTCAATCTGATGATCGAGCTTCCAAACTTGGAACAATATAAGATTTTCTAGAGAAGCATCATCACCCAAAATAAAAATCACCCAAATTGGAGCATAAGAAAACCATCCATTCTCTAAGAATCTGATTTTTGAGGTTATAATTTTTAATAATTTTTAATCACAACCTATAAGCAGATAACGAAATGATTAATTTTTTATTTTACTTTTGCAGATATTGATGATACACGTGATGGTATAAAAAAGAAATTATCTCTGTTGTCGGTTTTGCCAAAGTAACGGCAACGGCAACGTCAGTATTTGCTTAAAAGTTGGCATCATCCTGAAAGTTTAATGAAACATGGTCGTGAACATGCCGCCAACGTCTTGTCTTGTACGGCAATACAATCACAACGCAAGGACAAACTATGCAATATGAACACACAAGCCCGTTCTGCCATAAAAACTGGTCAGTGCCTAATTATGTTGCCTTTTAATTATTTAGATAGTTTATACAGAAACACTTTACCATTTTGATTTTAAATGGGATATTTTTATGCAAGTTGCGTTTTTTATAGCGGTACTAATAAGTTCAATGGCGTTTTTAGGGATAATAGGGCTTCTTGTTGTTCTAAAAATAATGCAGAGCTCTTTATAGTATTTACATTTAAAGAAAACATATTTCCTTTAATTGCGATTTTTTAAGAAGAGTACTGAACAGTACTTTAATAAATAAAATTGTGAGGTGCCCTTTTAAATATACTATCAGCTTTACGTAATACAAGAAAGCGGTTTTCCACGCCACCATTGCTTTAATATAAACAGCGAATCGAGATCCAACGTCATTTCGTTTTTTTACGTATATATACACTTATGTACATGCCATGCATAGCTCATATGCACTTAGAGTTCGAAATTGTACATGCTTTGGCTTTGTAAACGCTTGTTACAGTGTGAGATCCGATTCTTCTTACTTGGTTTGGTCGCTTTTGCTCTTCTATCATCTCCTCTAGATGTATGTATAGTGTTGTGGAAAATACGCCAACTAAACTTATTTAATTTTACAAGTTATCCGCCCGAGTGGCTTCAAATCTCAAGTGCGCTTTAAAAGAAAAGAATTTATTCTCTGGTTAAATTTATTGCATGTGTATGTGTAAGATATAATCTAAAGGAAATTATTTTGTTCGGCTTACCAGCACCTAAGTAAAAGAAGCAACACGAGCATTCAGGTAAATCACTTCTCTAAGCACTTTCAATATTTTCGACAAAATAAAATCCACGTTACAAAATTTCGTATTCCTTTAGATACAAGCTAGTAAGCAAAATATTAAGATTCTAACGTAAACTGCCTTTCGATTCTACAAAGTCTTTTTCAGATTAACCGCTGAATTAAGTTCGTACCAGTTGAATTTGAAAATTCTTTAGGCACACTTCTATGTTTGAAAATAAATTCGCGATTATAAAATTTCTTAATTTCTTTTATTTTACAAGTTAGCTTAGAATTAAACCGTCATAATTTTTAAACAAAGTCCTCGCTAAATTCCCTGTTGAAAGGCAAAGCACAGAGTCGCTTATAATATATATAAATGGTTAAAGCCCAACTTAATAACTTAAATGTTAACGCTAATCAGCTATGTTAAACGCGCAACTTAACACACCAGAGGGATTCAACTCTGTGAAATAACAGACCAGAAGGGTTCAACTCTGTGAAATAACAGACCAAAAAAGCACAAAGCCATCGGCGAAACACAAATTTTAAAATGAAAAGCCGTCGGCAAATCTTTCTTGCGTTTGTAACCAATTTCTAGTTCTATAGAACAATAACAAAAGGACTCTGTGTTGCAATCTATTTTTTCTATCTTTTATGCAGGGCGTAACTGCAAGCCAGATTTTACTTTTGCATTGAAAACGAAAACGTGAATTTCATACGTGATTACCTGCCTGTGTGTTTCACATAATGCGTTATTCCTATTTTCGAGATGGCACTTCTCGACTTTCTACTTTGCCGAATATTTAGAAAACTGTTTGGCAATTCGCAAATCATATGGTTACAGTGTACACAAACAAACAAAACAAGAATAAAGAGAGCTACTTTGTTTTAAACGTCGAAATTATTTATTTAATTCATGCGTATTTTGTATTAATTGATTGTGTTTAAATAATCATTTTGTTTTGTTTAATCGTGTCAGTGAAGTTCACATCCACGCTGCTTCTTTTAAACTCCCTTTCTTCATCTTTTATTTCAATAATTAATCAAAAATTTGATTTGAGTTCACATTCCTTTTTTGCTTTATTGTTTACATTTATGTTTTCGTTTTGCAAGTCAGTCAATCAAGTACATATGATTTACTGGGCTGAATAAAAAAGTCTTACATTTAAGTTGTTTTCTTAATTTGACTTTCCAAACTATGTGTTTTTGTTTCCATATTTCAATTTCCATATTTTTCTTATCAAGTAATATGGTAACAAGACTCTGCTGTGCTTACCACTTGGGTTTTTTTGGCACCAAAAGCTAAATAATGCATCATTGTGTTTAAGATCTTAGGATTACTTGTTAATGAAAAAAGTCGGAGAAGCTGAGTAAAGGCAGTGTTTATTTTTAAAACTGCAAATCATATGATGAATAAATATTTCTATAAAGTAAAAGTTTTTTCTATTTTTTGAAGACAATGAAGTTGTGTGCTTTCTTTTAATTTGTTTTCAACCACAGCCGGAAACATTACAGCTAATTGTTTGCAATAGTTTATTTTCAAACGTGGCCATCAATATAAATTTAAATGCCAACCATAACATTCCAATAACTATTGAAATACAGTAAGATCTGATTACAATTTTTCTTTAAAATTTCTGAATTTGGTAGAACTTAATTTGTACTACAATTGAAGAATCAACATTTTAAGAAATTAAGACCTGTAAAGACGATTTAATGTTTTATTCAATCTGGATTTGAAAAATTATGTGATATTCGGAAAATTTGATCGAGATATTTTCATGAAAACTTTAGTTCCGTCCCGAGCTCAATAAAGCAAAAACGAAGCTTCATTTATTAAATTAAGTAAAAAAAAGTTGGTAAGCCATACGAAAGGCTTTGCTACTTTATATCGTCAAAAAGGTATTGACGAGTATTAAAATTCGTTAATAAGCTATAATGTTCTTTTAGTTAAATCTATCAATCTAATAGAAATGATTAACGACTTTTTTATGAATTTTCACGTTCTGTGCTTTAACTTCGAATTATTTGTTGGATTCTTGTTTTTCATGCATATGGCTTCGACTTACTTAAAATGTTCTACGGTTAGTTATCTTCAAGCATTTCATATTAAAAATTAATAATAACTAATAATTAATTAATAACTAATTGATCAATCTAGATAAGAGAAAGAAAATCTCGTTACGAAATGCTTGTGTTCCGCAAATTGCAACTGAAGCCAATTTTTCTGGGAACTTAGACGCGATAGAAACAAATCAGACTTGTTTTTTCAGTGAAGCAATGTTTTATCAAATGCAAGTTAGATTCAAAAGAGATATAATCGTCAGCAGTAAAAGGCTAATAGAGTTGTATTTATAAGAAAAATCATTGCCTTTTCTGATTGTTATTTTTGCGCAAACATATGTTAAAAGTGTTGAATTTGCCTTTGTAATATTCCACTTATTTAATTAAACTTGCCTGCACTTTTTTTACATGGGCCACAAATGTCATTGAAAATAGAATTTGCAAAACATTGCCCGCAGCCAAAACGGAGAGTCAAAGGCAGCAGTAAATCAGTAGAATTTATTTAAAAAACGTCCAAAAGATTGTAGAATTGGTAAAATCTCTTAAATATTATGCAAAAAAATTTTTTGTAAAATATAAAAGTTAAATTGTAACTTGTCCCTAGAAGTGTTTCACGCGCAACGACATTATTATTTTAATACCAGCGGAAATTTTGGGTGAACAGAAAGCAAAAGACACTGGCAATTTCTTCTTTTTTTATACAATTGCTTACTAATTTCTGTAGTGTACAAGTACGGGAGATATACTGTATTTTTATTTCAATAATCGTGATAAGAAGATTTTACGTTAATTGTATCTAAACAGGAGCAGGTGATTATCGCTAAAACGAATTTGTATAAAAAATCTGTTTTGTTAACGTTTATCACAATATTTGATTCTTGATTTGGCTGTTGGTTTTGTTTCTTGTAACTTAATGTGAATGGTTGTTGGTGTTCATGTGTGTTTTTGTGTGTTTCGCGGAGGATAGAAAACGGCAAAAGCGTTGTCAGCGCTGCTCACGGAAAGCGGCTTCGAACTATGAGCTCCTCGAAAAAATATAAATACGAAACAGCTACGGAAATCCAGCAAACGGATACTGAAAATTTTAACAATCGTTTTAGGAAAAACGCTGATTATTTTAGTACCGGGCCTTCCACCTCAGCTGCTGCAACGAAAGGACGCACTGCTTTAGGTCAACAAAACACCAACAATAAAAATAACAATAATACGATGCAACGGTCCAGTAGTAACAGTAGTATTACCACTAATAATACCAGCAACAGTAACAATCAGTTTACGCAAAGTGGTGGTGGTGCCGGCAATGGTAGCGATGCTAATGGTGAGCGTCGTTCAAATTTCTCCATGTTGGAAGCTTCAAATGTGAATGAACATCGTTCGTCTATAACTACCTCATCACATTTTAATAAGATGGGCACTCAAAATGCCACTAAGCCGGGCGATGTTAAAAAAATCGTGATTAAAAATTTTAAGGGTAACTAATATAAATTTTATAAAAAAAATATTAACATCTATTGAATTCGTTCTTATAGTCAAACCAACACTGCCGGAAAACTATTCGGAAAGCACCTGTCAAAAATTAGAAGAAGCTGTTGTGGCCATACAACTATCAAAACCTATTAAATACATACTAGAGGAACTGTATCAGGCTGTGGAGAATATGTGCAGTCATAAAATGGATGCTCAATTATACACGAAACTAAAAGATCTTACGGAGGCCCATGTTAAACGCAATGTAGAAACATTTACTGGTGGAAGTATGGATAAATTGGTAAGTTCTACGTTATTTTTATGCTTCTAAGGTAACACTTTAAATAATTCGTTTTTCTATTGCGCGTAGGTTTTTTTAAAGAAAATTAATAATTGGTGGTTATCGTATTGCCAGCAAATGATAATGATGCGTAGCATATTTCTATATCTAGATCGCACATATGTTTTGCAAAATCCCACAGTTCACTCAATATGGTAAGTTTGCCATATTAAGATCCTTCAGAACAGAAAAACATTCAGCTTTGTTTGTTAAAGGGACATGGGTCTGGATTTGTTTCGTACCCATATAGCTTTGAATAGTTTAGTGCAAAAACGTACTGTCGAAGGTCTTCTAATGTTAATTGAGAAGGAGCGCAATGGTGATGCTGTTGATCGCGCTTTGTTGAAAAGTCTTATACGGATGCTATGTGATTTACAGATTTACGTGAGTGCTTTCGAGGATAAATTCCTTGTAGCGACAAGGCAATTGTATCAAGCTGAAGGCCAACGTAAAATGCAGGAACTCGATGTACCCGAATATTTACAACATGTTGAGAAGCGTTTAAACGAAGAGAATCAACGTCTGCTACACTATTTGGATTCAAGCACTAAGTATGTTCTTTCATTTACTTACTTGTTATAAAAGCTATATCTATAACTTCCTTTTTATTCTTTTCTTTTAAAGATATCCCCTCATCTATACAGTAGAAAAGGAACTAATAGCCGAGCATTTAACGCAAATTCTTCAAAAAGGTTTGGACACACTTTTAGAAGAGAATAGACTGAGTGATTTGACTTTGCTATATAGTCTGTTAAATCGTGTTAAAAATGGCACAGCAGAATTATGTGGCAATTTTAATGGCTATATTAAAAAGAAGGGGCGCACCATTGTTATCGATCCTGAAAAAGATAAAAATATGGTGCAAGATCTTTTAGATTTTAAAGATAAAATGGATGTTATTGTACGCACCTGCTTTGAGCACAATGAAAAATTTACTAATTCATTACGAGAAGCTTTCGAATTTTTCATTAACCAACGAGCCAATAAACCAGCCGAACTGATTGGTAAGTTCAAATGTTTTTTTTTCTTTCTATACCGTCGTCAATTATCTGATCAAATTCCACTTTTTAGCCAAATATGTTGATATGAAATTAAGGGCTGGGAATAAGGAGGCAACTGAAGAGGAATTGGAACAGATTTTAGATAAAATTATGGTACTGTTTCGCTTCATACATGGTAAAGATGTGTTCGAAGCATTCTACAAAAAGGTTCGTTCAACAATATATGCGTGTGCTAAATTTATTCTTTCTTTTCAAAAATTCGAAAGCTGCGTAGGAAACATCCAGAAAAGCATATGTTCCTAGCCTAGCCGATCCATCCGTTTATCGTATTCTTGCTATGTTCGCTTTGCTCATAGGCAACAAAGTATAACTTATACTAAATTTTGACCTACATTTACGAGTTCTATGCTAAACTACGTCATTTTGTTGGCAAGAAATTTTATAATTTTCATAAATTTGTCGGTTATGGTGTCCAAAATGTGCCAAAGAGCATATACAACCATTTTATTTGCTTATTAATTTGCATTTTTGTTATAACCACTAGTGTATAGTGGAGTAATTTTATCATTCCGTTTGAACGCATCAGGTTTACGTTAGTCATCTTAACTGAAGTCGAGTGTGCAGTGGTCTGCACACATTCGTCGGTCGAGTTAAATCAATAATTGTAATTTCATTCCTTAATGCTTAACGGACGTATATCAAAGACGTGATTCAATGTCTTTTTCTTCGTAGGATTTGGCTAAACGTTTATTAGTTGGTAAATCCGCTTCTGTAGACGCCGAGAAGAGCATGTTATCGAAACTAAAGCAAGAATGTGGGGGTGGTTTTACTTCAAAATTAGAAGGAATGTTTAAAGATATGGAACTAAGTCGTGACATTAATATAGCCTTTAAACAATACGTTGTGAATATGGACGGCGAAGTGACTAGCATCGATTTAACGGTTAATATATTAACAATGGGCTATTGGCCAACATATCCCTTAACGGAAGTGAATATGCCAACTCAACTAGTGAAACCACAACAAGTTTTCAATAAATTCTATTTGGCCAAACATAGCGGTCGCAAACTGCAATGGCAACCAACGTTGGGTAATTGTGTGCTTAAAGCTCGTTTCGATGGGGTAAGTTCCCTCTTCCATTTAATAGCATTTTTCTAATATTTCACAAGAAAAATTTGCTTGCAGGGACCAAAAGAATTGCTGGTTTCTTTATTTCAAGCTTTAGTCCTTTTATTATTTAATGAAAAAGATAACTTGGCGTTTGAAGAAATACTTGCAGCAACAAATATTGAGGTAATGTATACGAAAGAAAGTAAAATTTAAAAAAATATATAAAATTCTAACAACACGGGAGAATTTTTTTATTTTCAAAGGATGGCGAATTGCGTCGTACACTGCAGTCACTAGCTTGTGGGCGTGCCCGCGTTATATCGAAGGAACCGAAAGGAAGAGAGGTGGAAGACGGTGATCAATTCCATTATAATAATGAATTCACCAACAAACTATTTCGCATTAAAATCAATCAAATACAAATGAAAGAGACTGTAAGTATAGCAACACAAAACAGCAATCGGTATTCTTATAACGAAATTTGGATGCATACCACTTACAAAATGGCAACGAGGCGTCAATGTTACGCAAAAAGTTTTCGTGAATTTGACAAATACTTGGCTTCGATTTCATACCAATATGCTTATGATGCATTAAATATTTATTAAAAATTTGACTAAAGTGACAAACGAAACGATGAACAAGCAAACAGGCTTCAGAGCATAAAGCAAGTAACAAGGTCTGGGCAGCCTTTGTTTACATCCGCAAGCATTTGTGGTTTGTGAGCGAAACAGTTTTCATGTTCGCCCTTAAAGCAGGAGCAAAGGATATATAAATTAAATATCAGTTTTCTGCATCATTAATTATGATTTTACGAACTTCACAAATAGACTGAGACATTATTAACATGTCTTAAAAGTAATTTAAAACTGGCCAAATGTACATTTGTATGCTTTCAACTTAAGACAGCGGATACCAAAATATAACGAAAAATAAATTGAAAATTTTTCTTTATTATTTCAATAGACGGAAGAGCAGAAAGCTACCGAGGAGCGTGTTTTCCAAGATCGACAGTATCAAATAGATGCTGCTATTGTACGAATTATGAAAATGCGTAAAACATTGAGTCACAATTTACTCATAACTGAACTGTTTAATCAGCTAACATTTCCTGTTAAGGTAAAATTAACATTAAAGTCTTATGTATTAAGAAAATATTATTCGATACTTTTTCCTCTTAGCCCGCTGATCTTAAAAAACGCATTGAATCTCTTATCGATCGTGACTACATGGAACGTGATAAGGATAATCAAAATCAATATAACTATGTGGCTTAAGCAGAGGACACATACTATTACAACCCTATCTATCTCTATCCCTTTCCTTCTCTCTCATTTAGCTAAGAATCGAGGCTTATATTTGTTCAGATTATGTTCCCCCAAAAAAAAAAAAAATACAAAACACGGTTAACAAAAATCTTACAAATATATGGAAAGAAAGCAAACAGACCCCTAAATAAAATCTCTATTTGTACATGTAAAATTTCTTAAAGAAATTCCTATATAATTAAATTTAATTGTAAAAGAAAAGGAAAAAAATAATGGAAAATTTTAAATCATAAGTTTTTTCGTTTCTCCTCAAAAAAACATAAACAAAAGTACCAGGCACTCGTATCCAGCTACTCCCATCTCAGTAGTGTTTTACATAAATTTACTTCTACAATTTTTGTTTTACTTTTAATGCACTAACGCGTGGTTTGTAAAAAATAAACCTTTTGAGTACCGAATAGAAACGTTTTGGTTATTTGTTTTTTTTTTTTTTCATTTATTCAGTTTAATAAAAATTTAAATGAAATTTTTAAAAATTTGCAATATTTTCTTAATCTTTGCAAAGAATAATAAGAATAAATTTACCCTTAAAGTCTTTTTTCTTAATTAAAGTATATTTTAAATAAATGAAAAAAAAATATTAAATTCACATACAGAATGCTTCGTAACCGCAACAGTTTTTTCTTTGATGAACTGCTAGACAACGACATGTCTCGGATAGCAGCTAACGAACAGCAGCGCAAGTAGTAGAAATGTCTAAGACTGTCCTTAGCAAATGTTTACGTCTTCTCTAGGTTATAAATTAGGGTTTCTATTTCCTCCTTCTTCCCGAAGTTGTTCTGTAATCTTGAATGCCTTTCAGCTTTCCGTCGGCCACTATAAAATTTTGATCAACTTTTTGTGAAGTGTCGTCGGGTTCAGCGAAGTGGCTTGGGGGAAGAGGTGGCTTTCCATGTAAATAAACTAATAAAACAAAAAGGAATAAAACTGATTTATGTGAAATTTAAGTCACTTGTGAGAAAAAGTATACGTCTAGCCGCAATGAACGATCACTCTGAAATTTTGTGGATTTGTTTTTCAACAAGTTTATATAATAAATAAAAAATTCATGGACTTCATATTTGCCCTTTTGTACCTACCGCTTATTTTGAAAGTGCCCTAAGTCCACTTTTCAAAAAAATTAAGACAACCATTGAAATATTTACATTTCTACGTTGTCTTTTCATTTTAAAGCAAATCGCAACTAATATATTTAAAATCCCTAAGATTTTTTTTGTATGAGGAAGTTCAAATGGTTGATGAAATGGTAAAATGTTTGTTACGAAAGTGGTTCAAGTGATAGTAGATAAGAATTTTGCAAAATTACAGCTTTATGTTTTATTATCAATAAATATATAATTAATAATATAATATATAATATAATAATACAACTTTCGCTATAATCTTGGTTCAATCAGGATTGAAATTGCTAGCAACTAGATACACCAAAGAGATTCCCAGGGAAACTATGTGAATCTCAGATCGGTCTCCTTGTCAATACATGAAATATATAAAATTGTAAATAAACGAAATACATGCGCTTACCGTCAATAAACTGTTCAAACTAGAACTTAACTTTGTTAAAATTAAGGAAGATTTTAACACACTAAATAATGCTCTTATTTTCCTTGAAGTTACTCTCTTCTTGTTTAACTTATAAAACTTTTATTATCAAATAAAATAAAATGTATAATTTTATAATTTTTTTGATTTTTCCTTATTTCGGTTTTATGTAAATGTTTCAAAAATTTCTTCTAATTTTTAACCTTCTTAATTGCTTTTTTTTAATTTGTTTTAGAATTATTCATTTCTTACAACTTCTTGGTGTACTTGTGAAATAGCCATGTTGAAACTAATAGAACTGCATTGAGTTGAATTTTCATTAAAACGGCTGAAAGCCGTTATCTGGTTTTTCCCTTTACAAGATTTATAAAAATATACTCTTTTGTTGAGAATGGAGAGAGCACAGAGTTGTTTTAAATAATTGTAAATGTCCTCGACTATGTTTAAAAATTTTCCCGCGACCACGATGACAAATTCCCTCGACCATAAAAATATCCCCTGATTATTCTTTTAATTTTTCGTTCGACTTACAAAAAGCACTGCCTCAGCCGTAGTCAGCTATTTCAATTGCACACTGGAAGCGTAATTTGTACATTTTAACTATGGGTTTCCACAATGACAAGGTTTTGCCACAATTTAAGAGCAGTACTTTTGCTCATACCATGATCTATATACCAAATTATTTCGACTATGTCCGATTGCGAAAATATTTTAACACTGAAAATTTTAGCTTTTAATAGAAAACTATAATTAATTGAATAATTTTGTTCTTCTTCTTCTTCATTTGGCTTTACGCGCCGCCGTGGTGATATATTTTGAAGGCAACTCTTCTCTGAATACACGCCATTTTTCACTTTTAAAGAATAGAAAACCAGCTAATGGTTTTTAAATAAAAGAATGAAAAAGTGCAACTGAATTTCACTCAAAAACAATATTTAAAAGAAAAGAAAAAAATAAAAATAAAAAGCCGTAAAAAGGCTACACTTCTCTGGGAAAAACGGTTAAAAATTGCATACCAATAAACAATTGTAAAACAACGTGAGTGCATATGTATCGTTCGTTTGTTACAACATTGAGAAGAAAGTTCAAAAAGTCTCATAAGTGTATACATTTTCAATCACTTTCAAATTCTGAATTGACCTAGGCCTAGCCGACGGTCTGCCTGATCACTGCTAACAATCACGGTAATGGAATAATTAGAATGGATAAAAATTTCCACGTACATTTTATAGACGAACATACGGTACTTGTACGCAGTAGCATCCACATTGTGGTGTTGAAATTTTTTCCTTTTTGTTATTGTTTTCAAGATAGATATGATTCGGCCATAGTTGAATATAGTTAGTTGTCTTATTTGCTTTACGTATAGGATGGTATTTTGATAATTTCTAATATAGAAGTGCTTTTGCTAATACTAGGAAGAGATTATGATACGTTAAATATGGTCAGTGAAGCGTTGCAATTGTAGTAGGATTACTTTGCAGACTAACAAAATCAATAAATTAATTTCTTGTCCAAACCTCTTACACAAAGTCATTAATTTATCATTATTCATGAGAAAAAGTTTACGTATACGTCTGGGATGACACCACCGCATCCAAAGCTTCGCAGGAAGTAGCATCATATATCCTGAAACATCTGGAAACTCTTAGAAACGAAAAGTATGGAAAACCAGAAATATAAAAGTAGACTTCTTATGCTTGAAAATTCTCCAATCTACCAAAATGCAAATGTCCACATGAGTAATCGTGGCTGGCAACTGAATAGTTGCAGGTCCAATATTTAATATCTTCGTCATCCGGCAGCCATTATATCCGGTATGTAGACAATAAACAAACAAGTAATATAACTGAGCCATGAAAACTGTTCTGTAAAGCAACAATGATTAAGGAAGCGACATTCAAAACTCTGGATTTACTACCACGTCGAGGAAGGTTAAGAAACTAGTAGCATAGCACTTCCGCTTATGTAAACAGGAGGAGAATAAATAAAATTAATTGTAACACTTTATTATTACTAATGTAACAATTCTTTAAGAGAAAATAAGCGTTGAATAGTTTTAAATTTTATCAATTTTATTTCAAGCGAAATTCATTTTTTCTACGGGCTTGTGCTTTTTTAAGAACTAGGAAAAGTTATTTCATTAATTTTAGAAGTGTTTTAACTCGATTTAGAGCCACCAAAAACGTATTATTCTTTCAATAGAGTTAATTGTGCGGATACTTAGTTGTACTGATAAATTATATACCCTGAGGAATCCGAAAACATTCTCCTACTATGCTATCAGTTATTTCAATATATATTCTATCAGTTAGTTTTGAAATTTATTAAAACGCAAAATTTAAATGGACTCAGATATTCAAAAATTGCAGGCACCCCACAAGAATGACACATAATTACTAACAGCCGCTGCAGCATCCAAACTCGATATAGCTTGAACTTACAAACCGAATTGCTAATGTGGCTATCAAGGTGCGAGTGGGCAACCGTTCTGAATTCTTTGAATTTATTTAAATTATTTTTAGCCATCTCCATTAACTCTATATGCAACCAATAGATATCATGATAAATACGACATTCTTCATTTTCGTGATGCGGGAATTCTCAAATCAATACCTGAGTATGTGGACGTTATCTCCAAAGATCATATCAGCTAAAATGCTGCACCCAATACGCCAAGCAGGCCGAGCTTTGCCCTTGGGAGAACGAAAAGTTGGTCCGACTTTGCGCGCCTTCTACACCCCTGTTCTAACTGCCCCCTCGCAGCTTGTTCATCTAAACTGATATTTTGCAATTTTCCATACTTCGTTACACTTTCGTATAAATTATCATCGCCTATATAAGCCAGCCCTTTTTTTTTTAATGCGCTCAATATAGTTTATTATCTTTGGAATATAGTGGGTTACACGAGCCTTGACAACAAAATCGTAGCTTGACTGTCTTAACGTTTACAGGCCCTTACCGAGCTAGAAACTTTACATTGGTTATTAGCAGAAGCCCTAACATACTTACTTACTTACCTTACGGTCTTTTTGTTCCCGTTGATAAGCAATCGCATCAGTGCGGTCTTATAAATTTCCTCTTCAATAGCAGTGCTTTGTAATAAATTGTCTGCAAAATCCAAGTAACTAAAGAAGAAAGAAGAATAAGCGCAAAAGTATTCTTTGAAATCATATCGCAATTGATGGTGATAACTATGTTAAAAACAGGTCAAACTATGTTAAAAAACTGCACTGTCAATAAAATTTTTATCTTTATTGAAGCAAAGAGGAAGGGCCAATAAGCCTTGGCATACCCATGACTTTATTGGCTCACTTGTTAAAAATGCGAGCTAACGATTGTAAAGTTGCTTTGTCAAAAATGAGGATTCCTTTATTGTTTTCTTTATTTTCCTACTATTTAATAAATAAAGATTATCCTGTCAGTACAATTTTTCATTGTAGTATATCTAGGAAACCTCTGATAAATTGGATATACCGTGCAACTTACGTAAGAGTTTTACGTCATAGATGATTTTGTTTCCGAAACAAAATACCATGAACTAAGCGGTGAATATATCCGCCTGAGTGGCCGAGTAGGGAAGAGTCTCGACTAGCAAATTCAATGGTCGTGGGTTTCAAATCTCAAGTGCGGTAGACTTTTTAATAAAGCCGAAAACCTTAAATGCTAGTACTTTAAGACCTTAGTCTTGGAATTTATTCTCTGGCTAAGTTTATAATAATAATAATAAGCGGTGAATACGCTTAGGTACGAAGTTATCTTTTGCAGCGCTAGTTATTTTGATAATCTTCTCCGTTTACAACTGCAGCTCAGAGCTCAGACAGCCCTTGTCCAATATCTTTTCTTTTTATCCGTTAGGGTCAAGTAATTCTTTTGCTTGCTGTGATATATCGTTTTAATTCATTTTTTAATTCCTTGCTCTTTAGTTTGCTTACTGTTATTTTTCATATACTGGTTTTGTTTACATTTTTCTTGCCTTCCATATTTTTATTTGTCAAAGGGTGATTGTGTTAGCTATTTGTAGCCTGAAATGCCCAATAAGTCCTCGTTTCGCCCTTTTTTGTTATTGCCGGTTAAACGATACGATATGGTAACACTATATTTGTAAGTGGTTTCGGCTTTGCCTTCAATGTAACTAGAAAATGGAAATTATTACGGAGGATTTTTGTCGGTTCGAGTCTTTACATACCCCGCAGTTGCAGTCGTCAGGGGTTCCGAAGCATCTGTGGAGAGCCCTCTACGTTAAGTTAATTACTAACAATTTCGATGCCGGCGAGGTGTTTGAATTGAATCGAATCGAGTATGATGACAGTGACAGTGACATCACGGATGATGATGATAGCAATACTCGACCGGAGTATGCATTATTGGTCACAAAAGAAAATGGTCTTAAGGCTGAAGATAGCGATGCTATATTTTTAATTGATCACACTTGGACATTCCGTTTGCCTAACGTTCGTGAACAATTGCTACAACATAAAAATTTACTCAATCATATGTGTGAAATTTCCGGTGTTAATTTGAACGAGGACGATGACTGTCGGGTGAATAAGGTTATGAGGCGCTTATGGAAATATTGCAATTTTTATACGATAAGCAACGTAAGGCAACCTATTTGGTATGTAATGGATAAAGTAGGTTCAGCCGTTTGTCATGCTGAGAGTCCAAATTTTCGTTTAGTGCCTTTTTTGTACTTAGATTCTCAAGAAACATACAGTCTATTATTTCCAATTAAGGATTGTGAATATGGAGAATTAATTACCAGAGATTATGTAGAACATGTAAGCAAAGATGCCCTTGAAAGAAGACAAGCCTTACTATTTCCCTGGCATTATACGGATATGAAAGGCATTAGTTTCGTGCAGACAGAACCTAATGCCGAATACTTCTCTTCAGGTCATATTCCGGAAACACATCCATCCGAAGATAATCTCATAGATCCGTTAATTAGTCGCGACGAACCTTTAAAAGTTTACGCGGAATACAGCGTAGTTAAGCAATATTTGACATCTTCCTACTTTGCTTTAGTTGACGGCGCAGAACAAGCAGATATTTTATGGTTAACTGAACATTTTAAAGATTTCGCTGCTTTAGCCTGTAATACGCCCAATAAATTTATCAATCAATTCCCGTTCGAGTATGTGATAAGCATTAAAGACTTGTTAAGCATTATATCCCGACGAGCGGCTGTCGAACATCATAATGCGGAAACTTTAACTACTTATCCTATTTGGCTGCCAACTACTTACAATTTGAAAACGGAACTTTCGGAATTCGTTTCCTATTTTCAAAATCGAACTGCTCGTGGACTGGACAATCATTGGATTGTGAAGCCCTGGAATTTGGCTCGAGGTCTCGATATGCATGTAACCAATAACTTGGCGCAAATTGTACGCTTGTCTGAAACGGGACCTAAAATCGCTCAAAAATACATCGAACGGCCTGTTCTATTCTATCGCTCCGATATCCAAGCTTTCGTTAAATTCGATGTACGTTATGTGATATTGTTGAAGTCCGTTAAACCATTAGAGGCTTACATTCATCGCAATTTCTATTTACGGTTTGCTAATAAAACGTTTTCTTTAGATCACTTGGATGACTATGAGACACACTTTACAGTAATGAACTATCAGACTGAGGCTGAATTGCATCATCTAAGATGTGAGGATTTCTTACCCTTATGGCAAAAACAAAATCCTGAAAATCCTTGGTATAAACAAGAAGATAAAATCTGTCAAATGTTGTATGAAATATTAGAATGCGCTACGAAATCTCCACCGCCGTGCGGTATAGCATCTTGCTTACAATCTAGAGCTTTGTATGCTGCAGATATTATGCTTGAGGACTACAGCACTGATGACGGGGGAGAGCGTAAAATGCGGCCGAAGATTTTAGAAATTAATTGGACCCCGGATTGTAAACGTGCCTGTGATTATTATCCAGAATTTTTTAACGATATTTTTAAACTCCTCTTTTTAAACGAAACAAATTGTGAGGTTTTTCGTCCTTTGAAAAAAAACTGAGAAGCTTTTTACATGAAAAATTTTACTTATGCTTATAAGGAAGCAAAATAAAATTGGGATACTTAGCTTAATCTTTACGTTTACCTCTTTTAAATGCTGGCAATATTGGCAACATTCCACAAAGGATCTCGCGACGAATAAAATTTTATCTCATCTCTCGGAAGTCGCTCATATTTATTAATAAACATAAAGTATATGAATTTGTTACTTAAAAGCCTATCGGATTGTGCACAATGCTGACGCTGACTTATATTGTAAATAGTTACACAGTTGTAGCAAATATGATTTTATAGTCGGGCAATGTGTACAGTTTAAGGTCTAACTTACATTTATTTTCGCAAAGATGGTGTTGTCCGTTTCATGGAAATATCAACCTCGAATACATGAAGTACTCCTCCGCAAAGACAATAATCATTCCTTGTCCATTGGACGATACGGAGAAAATCTGAACGGCATTTTTGGTTTTTCGCCGTCATCTTTATCTCTATCGCTATCGTTATTTCACCAGCATGAGTCAATAAATCTTTTGTAATATTTATCTAGTGAATGAAGCTAATCAAGCAACACCTTCGTAGTCCAAATTTGTCCAATTGACACTCAAGCATGGGCATAAGATACTGCCCAAAATATGCCTTTATATATGTGCTTCTAGAATTTAAAAGCGATTTCTTAATCTACCAAACAAAAACATAACGAATTTAGCTACAATTTTAAGGATTAAGATTAATTAACCCTAAGATAAACGAAATATTGATTAGAGATGCACACACAATATGCACAATATAATTGAATTCTGATCAACAAATGTCCGCGCGGAATGTCACATTACTATCTGGTCTCCGTTTAAGATGCTTCATGAAGAAATTGGGTTTGTTAGTGCTCTCGCCAATTTTCAATTCAAGCTCAATTCTCGCATGAGTGCGGAGCACCATGTTAATTTTACCATAATGCGTATCCAGGACATTTTGAAAAAGCTTTGAGATTGACCAACAGTGTTTCATTGTGCCGGTTTTATTTTAAGATGCGAACGAACGATTTGGTTATACACCGCCGTTGTGATACCGGGAAAAGGCCTCACTTATGCGATATACGTGTGGAGGGTTTCATACAAGCATTCGTGAACGTGTATTGTAGCTCAGATCGAGTTTTTAGCAATATGTTATAAGATTGCTGAATATGCTTTCAATAAAGGTAAATATGAAAGAATATCGCAATTTTCGGTCAAGACCCTTCAACGTTGCTTAACATCAGCAATCTAGTCGCTCTTCATAAGCTCGTTCCCATTCGGACGCCATGGGGGGATATATGGGCAGATGTTGTTTGCAAAATCTGAGTGGACCTGTCTGAGTTGTCATACCCATTACCACTTTGTATTAAAGTTGGCATTAAAACCTTCTATAATTTATAATTACGTCTGTATCTGCGCCTTGTTGCAAAATAGTACAACATATTATTATCTATATCTATTTAATAGCATTCTTCAAAACCGTACCGCAAAAGACTTATTTTATAATATTATAATACGTATGTTGTCATTATAAATTATTATTATTAAGTAGTAAACTAAAGTGAGGCGAAACAAGCGAGAACATTATAGTCGGCCGCGCTCGATCATTGATGCGCTACACCGCTTTGCATGGCAGAGTTATTCATTTGTTTTAACAATAATATATCAAAGATTACAGATTGGCCTCGTGGAAATGTATACCTTTCCTGAAAGCCTTCGTATTGGAGGATGCGTCAAATGGCGCAATTCAAATTTTGCAAACGTCAAGTTTCTTTGTAAAAATTTTTATTTTATAATGTTTCAGTTTTCCTCATGAAACCGTAGACATTACACTTTCTCTCCCTACAAAGGGTTGCTTTTCATGATGACGTTATATGGTAGGGTCTAAAAAATAGATCTATATGATCTTAATTCCTTACTTTTAATTTTTTGCTATGGACTACTAAAAGTTAAATCTTTCTCTGAAGGAATTACCATTAGTGAGAAATTTTATATGGAGCGCGATCCAAGAAGCAGATTCATGTGATTCAAACTTGCACCACTTAACATTTTAAGTTCAATTACCATCATGAACAAATTTCTATGGTAAAACATTAGCAATTAGGTCTTTTTTGGCACGTAAGGGTTTCTATTTCCGGAGGATCCTTATATGAGTTGGCATTCAAAAAATAGTCTAACCTGGCCCATACTCTCTCTTTTCAAGTTTCTTTGTAAAGTTACTATTGCGAACTAATTTTCTCCATGCAATACTAAAATTATATACTTTTCCGATAGAAGTGAGCAGTTTTCGTAGGTAAGTTTATGTAAGGGGAATTTGACTAAATGATCCCAGCCGAACCAAATTTTTCATACCAAATTATAATTTCGAAACACTATTACTCAGCGAGCTTTGCTGAAAAATATTGGAAAAATTGTGCATTTCTTGCACATCACTCGTCTCAAAAGTAATGCGTTGTATGGGGAGGGGCCGAAGAAGCGGACAGATTCGAAGCATTCTAAATAGCTACCGTTCTCGTTATATATGGACAGACAGATGGATAAGCTGGGCATAATAAATGGTGGGTAGGCCTTAAGTCTTTCTGGGCGTTATGTATGTCCGCATAAAGATAATATACTCGGTCCCATAAGTGATGTAGGATAAAATGCCAAACACATTCACTGTTACCTCTAAGACACCTTCGAATCGTCATGAATGTGTATTCCCGAACCTTTGCTAAAACAGACGGCACTTCAAATGCTTTCATATCTTTGTCTCTGTTCAAGCAAATATCGATCAAACAATTACTATGCGCAGGCTTGGTATAAAAAAAGTCTAAATTCTGTTTGTTTATTATACAATTTAGACGACAGTCTCTTCATGATAGATACGATAACCGGGAAATGATAAGATATAGAAAAGCTTAATATCAAAAATTTCATACGCGGCCGTATTTTAAGAGCACTTCCAAAGCAGTATGGCTAGATTGCCAGCAAAAAATAAATATAAAATATTTTTCGTTTCATAAGTCACTTCGAAACCGAAGCCTTCGCCTACCACCACATGCCAGTAAATTCCAAATTTCTTATCCATGGTCTCTTTAATAACGCGCGCTGCTTGCTGATTGATAAAATTGATGAAAATAATATTAAATTGGATTAAAAATATTTCGCATAAATAAATAAATGGATAAAAAATATTTATAGGCTTACCTCGTAGTTGGTCGAATATTTCTCGCAAGCCGTCATACTTAATTCGATGGCCTCAATTCGCATTTCTTCGTTCATATCGGAATGCTAATAATTATTTTTGAAATTGAATAAAGAGATTTTTAAAAGTGATGAAGAAATTATGTTTTTTTATTTGTTTTCATCGTTACCTTGACAAGCGGATAGACATGTACAATCTTCTTGTCGGCTTCTTTTTCTTGACCTTGGCCCTCATCAGCCATGTTTTTGGAAGAAGAGAGGTCTTCTCTTCTTTTCTTTTACTCTTAAAAATTTAAAGCACAACACTATTATATTTCGCCTGGTTTTTTTTTTTTTTATTTCTTTCAAATAACAACACTTTTTGCGAAAAATTTTTCAAAACAACATTAAAAGAATTATTTGCGAAAATTTTTATTATTGCTCATTTATTTTTTCCAAATGTCATGAAGAAAGGAATTTTCAATAAAACCGACAATCAAGCTGCCTTTATTGGAAATAGAGAAAACCAAAACAAAATTTTCTTGAAAAGTTTCTACTTTGAAAATCGTTAATACAACTGAAATGCAACTCAAATGTGCGGCAATCGTTAACTTTTGTTGCTTTCACAGCAACAACTTGGGGAGTCTATGCAATTGACGGACAGTGTTATTACTTTCTTAAATGTTTTGTAACATAACTTCATAACGGAAACGATACGAAACGAAAATGAGTTCAATTTTCAATCCATTATGCTGTCATTGTCGCAAATAAGTTTCACCCAACTAAGATTGTTATTGTTATTCTCTTATATGTCGTGATGTCATCTAACGAAACAGTGGGCGACATAGACGGGGGCTTCCCTCTTGCATTGTTGCTCCAATATTTTCCAAGAATTGAAGTAACATATCTCTAAAAGTGTTTGCCAATTTCAACCAATCAGTGTTCATGGAAGAAATCAATTCCATTCTCATTTTTGGTGATCTCTTCTCAAAAAGATCTCTCAAAGAATCTCTAAAGCTAACAAACTTAAGAATCGAATATTTATCAATTATCAATCGCATTAAGAGTCCAGCCACCAGCCTCTGAATATCTTCTGCTGACGCCTATTACCAAAGCCATTTACAATTCTATGGAGAACGAAATTTCCTGAAATGTTGGAAAAGTAATAAGAGCAAGTTTCAGATTGTTGATGATTTCCCTATAGATGTCATAGTGTGAAGCCAACTTATGCAGCTGACAAAGAGATTAACAAAAATTCTGCAGGTACCAGAAACATCAGAGCGAAGAGTGATATTCTATATCGCAATATGATAGACAAAGTGATTTGTTTTCATAAACTTTTAATGAAATGCATGCTGACGAACTATATTATTATTAATTATATTATTATTATTTTTCATATCCTATAACATATTCGTGTCATTTACTAAAGATAAGAAGTCAAAGAGTTATTAAGTGTTGTTAATTAAAATGTACAAATAAATATAATTTAAAAATTTAAAAATATTTGTTGAAAGAGAAGCTCGTGTACCTAAATCCGAATTGATCTCAAAATACTTGAAATTATTAATAAGCCATCGGTAGGCAAAACGTGAAAAGTGTTCAATATTCAACTTAAGCTAAAGTCAAGAAAAGAACGCATGCGTCTTCTTTCACCCACAATGGTAAATACCCGTTATATGGGACGTTCCATCCCATAGTAAATAGTCAGAAACGAAAATGAATTTAAGGCGTTTTTAAAACTATATTTTGTATTTTCATTTTCCATTAAACACGTTCTAATAGGTGCTTGCATGTATTTTGACCAGCGGCGTATATTGAAACGGCGAAAATGATAAAGCCATGCAAAGATCAGTGTACACAATTGTTAAATTCGATTATTTTGACTTTTTTCTCGCCACATAAGATAACAATTTTCCATTTAATATTTTTTTGATTATTTATCGAATTTTTGACATTCATTACCTTTGCTCTTTGAAAGAGGAAGGAAACTGTTACCGAAGACCTTGAAATACTTTTAGAAGCTTGTGGTGAAGCTGCTCCATCATATGTCAATTGTCGTGTTTTCTTTTCAACGATTTTCATATCAATGACACAGAATAGCCTGGAGAATCAAAAAGTGTTCGAAGACAATGAATTGCACGACATATTGGACGAAAACTCAGCTCAAACTCTCAAACAAGTTTGGAACAGCTTCACGCATGGTGAATTGACCTGCAAAGTTCCGAAAGGAGGGAAAATGGCTACCATACGAATTGACTGAAAATGCCATTTCGAACTCTTTGAACTTCGCCGTTTTATTACTTTGCAGGCAAAGGAAGAAGAATCTGTTGTGGTGCGGCCTAATGTGACAGGTGATTAAAAACGGATCCACAACCCAGTCACAAAAAGTCATGTGTTAGTCCAGGAGAGCTCTCCAAATCGGCACCGAAGCGGAATATTCATGGCCATAAAGTGTTACTATCAACGAGGTGAAATATATAACAAGCTGCTAAAACGGATGTCAATTGAAAGAATGGAACCATATATTGTTCCAAAAAGGGGAAAAAAATGATTAACAGGCATAAAATCATCCGCCCTGTATGATAACGACATGTTGCAATAGTTGTCAAGGATACACTGTTCCAGCTCGAATGGGAAGTTCTGCCACGCCTAGCATACTCACAAAATAGAGACACTTCTGATTACCACTTGTCGATTGTGACGCAAATTGGTTTGGCTGCTACGCAATTTCAAAATTCTGGAGAAGTGTGAAAATGAAGCGAAGATTCAGAAAGACGGGAAAATGTTGAAGAAAATGATGAAAAATATTTTGATTAACGAATTTTTCCTCAGTAAATGCCTCTTTCAAGTGAAAAAATGATTAATATACATGCAAACGCCTAATATTTTTTTCTGCTGGGGTAGGTCATAAAGCGCTATTTAAACTTTATACTGTCGCTCTATGGAAACGACGATAATAAAAATAACCTTTTTTTTTTTTTTTTGTTTGATGCTTGGCTTAAAGGTATTTTGCCATAGCATCCCCTTTTTAACAAGTCATTTACAAGAAGCACTACCCCAACACGTCATATGATAAAGTTGACTCTTGTTATATAAATGGTGCAAATAGTATCGTTTCCTGTTTTCGACAAAACAATAATAACAACCCTTCTTTACAATGATATCTGACATGTGGAATAAATCTCAAAAAACTTTCCGGTGTGGGTGCAGGATTGTTGCTAGTCCTTCACTAATTCGAAGATTCGATAAATTCCCACTAATTTCTGCTTATTGTTTAACGTAATTAATTTTATTCTTACGTCGCCTAACTTCCCGAATCCTTAGGAAAGCTTCCTGCTCTTTCCTATTCCTAAATCCAACTTTATGCTGTCGTTCTATGGAAGCGACGATAATAAAAATAAACTTCACTTTTTGGTCTTCCGAAACGATTTGGTGAACTTTTGTTATTTTTTCTGGAACAACTGCCAAGTTCGAGCGAGCACAGCGTTCAACGTTCATCGTGTGTCCTTGTACGGCTGCGTTTGAATTCGGCAATTCACTTCTTTACCCTTTGTCTCTATGGAGTAGATTCCAAATAGCACTTGTGAAGCCATTGCTTCGCTTCGACTTTTTTTTTCCCCCATTAAAAAGCAATGTTTTATCAATACACGAAAATTATTCCGTTAAGTGTGAGAAATCGAGGTCATTACTCTCTTAAAGCGATAGAAGTTAGTGCGAACTGATGATAGTCGGCTGGTTTCTATTGGACACACAAACAGATGTAATAGATAAAATAATTTATTACCCTATTTTTCTGATTATTATTATTATTATTATTTTAATTTTAGACTAATGAATTGAATTCTTAGACTAAAAAAAGAGACATTGAGCACTAGCAACACAGGCTATCGGCTCTAATTTAAATAAATGGATATTAGATAATAAGCTTAGTAGTATTAATAAAGTAAAATATTGAATTGATATTCTGTTCTGAAGCTGATTGTAGAATGTTCAAAGGGTTAATCGTTCCAAATGCAATACTTCTAGTCAAGGAAAAGTTGAGGCAGTCGCAGAGAATGTGCTTTATAGTAAGAGTTTGTCCACAACAGCAGATTGGGGGAGAAGACTTCTTCAGGATCCATTGGTGAGTTGAAATTGTATGACCAAGGCGAATTCTCGAAAATGTTTGGATCTTGGTTTTCTCAACATTTGTTGGATATAGAGGTGGAGTTAATTGCGGGTTAATGCAAGAGTAGTGTTGATGATGGTATTGTAAATTTCCTTCTGCAATTTTCTCTTTAACTTTTTTTTCTTACTTTCAGAATTTGTTAAGAAATAACATTTCAAAAATAGAATTCCTAGAATCTCAAAGTAAGAAATAAGTATAAATTGTTTAGCGGTACCTTGGACTTGTGCTTCGAATTTCGTCGAGGTATTTTACAAAGGCTCTATGCGGGAGAGTACAATATTTCTGATTGCCAAAGTGCTTAAGGACCCCGCCGATTTTGGATCAATTTCTATTCCGCCAGTCTTCCAAGCGACCAGTATGTGTGTTGCATCTCTGTCATTGTATCTCACCGAGCCTGTTAGAACCATCCCCAGTGCGTGTAAACGATCTGCATTATTTTCTCTTCTCACCTCCAAGGCGTTTAATTCACAAAACCATGGTACTTTGAATAAAAAACATGAAGATCAGATTAATTTTTCTTATGCGGTTTCCAAACTTGTATCCTCTACCTATCCTCTATAACAGGCTGCAATTTGTTGATTTTACGAGAGCTAAATCGAATTATCTTCCTCTTTATTTTTTTTATTATTTTTCAACAACGGTTGGCCCTGGAATCACTCCTATTCAAACGAGCGATCCACACCTGCAGGAAACTGGCCTTTACTGTTGCTCTATATTAATTTATATAATTTATATTTAAATATAAATAGCTTTATTTATATAGTAGCTTTATTGATTAATTAAAAATGGTTTAATTAATATATATATAAAAATATATATGAAAGAAATTGCTATTCTTTTTAATGTTTCCCTTATTGTTTCCGATTCTTCTTCTTTGGCTTGGTCGCTTTGGTTCTATTTTCCGTTCAGTTTTTCAAACGAAGAGGATTCTGCAGAAGCGGCAGTATCCACCGTGGAAATTTATTTGGGTACGCGCTCTTCTTGCGGTGGTCCAAGAGGTCAAAGTCAAATCCTCCGCACATGAACTCATTCGTGCGTCAGAGTCAAATCTTCCGCACATAACATACATCGTCGAACATCCTGATTGGGACACTGAACGCAGTAATTATATAACTTAATGCAATGCCCATTAAAAAAATTTACTAATACACGTTAACGATATATCAGCGCATATTAGAGCTAAAGCTTTACGAATATGGCAACATAGACTATGGCAATTTAGACTTTCTTCATTTCTATAATTGGTTATCTGACATTAAAACAAATTATATTTCTTGACACCGTTTATCAGCAATAACATGAAATACAGTCAAGAATTATCATAACGTAAATAGAAGGAAAGGAAGAGCCCTTTTACGAATTGAGACTTTGAAGCGACGGTCAAAAGCAGAAGAAGGTTTGTTTCCAAAAACAGTGAAATGAAAACGAAGAATACTTATAACAGGCATCTTTTTTTACAGCCCGACGAAGACTTTCAGTTACTGGAAATATCGTGGTATAGTACATGCGAAGCAAAACTGTAGCTCGTAATCATCTTCCAAAATTTCGTCGTCGTTTTGCTTTTCTAACTAAAATAGTTTCCACGAAGTTCTATCAAAACATAGGGGAATAGACTTCGTCATAACTATTTGGTCTTGTCTTGTCCAAGTTGCGATCTTGAGCGTGCAACACTCTCTGTCAAAGCTTTCTAAATTGAAGAATATGTACCACCAAAGTACCAAAGTATGAAGGCACTTTGGTTTTGTGTTAATTCATAATTTACGATCGAGTACGCTTTGGTACTAAAAAATTTTGCGAAGTTTACTTTACTCAATCAAATAAACAAGAAAAAATTGAATTGAAATTTTCCAAATTTTTCAGATATTTGATGTGATCGTACTGTCCATCGTGAATACGTCTTCTTTTACAGTTACCTTAGGTAAATTACAAAAAAAGTACAAGGAGGAAGTGTCTAAGGCGCACAATAGCTTGGCACGTTTGGATTTCATTTAGTTACATCAGTCCCTACCTAAACCCAAAATTATCATCAACGGCTCTAATAACGATTACGGATCTAATTTTAATGTAACCGGTCCAATCCATTTTCAAACAAACCAAATAATAATAATAATAATAATAATAATAATAATAATGAAAATAGTATTACGTTTTAGACCTCCTTTCAGATCATAAACAAGTACAAAGATAAATAATACATAATTTTCATCGTGGAAAGAGTACCTAATCTTGTACATGTTTGAGGCATAGCTTTCCGCACACATAAATATTTCTTTTTAACACACCAGCTACTCCAAAAACTATTTTGGAAAAATCTTGAGCAAATCATTTATCTGCAGTTGTGGCGGCCGAGTCTATGAAAAACGCAAGAAATGCTATTTTTGAAAACCTCAGAGGCCACGCCCGTTCCCATTGGACAACGGATCTCTAGACAACGTAGTGCAACCGCAGACAGCTAACGTAAATCCATTTATACCAGAAAGTAAGTTCATCGCAGAACTTTAATGTATAAAGTGGTAACGCACATTGTTTCATAGGTTTGATGGCTCACTAATGGTTCGCTACTATCGTCGTTGGTAGCCAACTCTACATCATATTGAAAGCCTGTTTCCGTTACATCGATTAACTTCTTTGATTCAGAGCATCTCAAACAAATTCCCTTCTGTTTAGCATTTACTGCGGCAAGAATAATTTACGCAATTAATTAAAGTATTGGATCGTTCGAGTAAGTATGAGCAATAAAGGAAAAAATATCCGTTTTAACACGGTGTCCTTGTTTCTTTTCAGAAAACGGGCTTTGAATAAAGTATGGGCTCACGCTATTATTCAATGGCGATAGCTTGCAATCTCTTGCAGGAACGTTCGCTGGTCGAATCTGAACTGAAACTATTACTATTACTAGCAGCCCAAAGACTACGTTCCAATGATTTAGTTCACATGGATTTAAAATCAGAAAATATCGTCTTCCCAAAAATACCTGCAGCGCGTAAATCGCCAATGCCCCCGAATATGGGTTCGATACCCCATTCGAACCCATATTCGATGGGCGATTCTAAATTGCTTTTATATATATATATATATATAGCTATTGGAGCATTTATTCCGTTATCGTTTTGTTTGTGTAAACTTTAATTTAACGAAACGTTAAATTCCTAGTAACAAATCGCCGCGTTCTCCACATTTGTTCTGTACTATCTCTTATTTATTTTCATATATCGAAATTGTTTTCCCTTTTTATTCTTTTCTTGCTAGATTAACTGTACATTAATTATAATATTAAACTTGCATAAGAGTAGTGTTAAGTTTTGAGCCTTTTTTTGATTTTTTTCTTTTTCTTTTCCTTTTTTGAACTTTGTTTTCAGGTACTTAGTACAGCGCAGAGTAGGAAAACATAGAAAATAATAATTGTAACACTTTTCTATTCATATGAATTTGAATTTAGAAACCATAGACCGATGAATTGGTTTTAGTTTTGCCATTTAGCCTACTTTATGAAGTAACTTTTTTACAATCAAATGCGAAGTATATCGAAATGTTCACAGTATTTTTTTTTATTCTTTTTTTTTTTTGCGTTAAGTATTTATGAATTAATGACAAATGACGGTTACGGTGACTATTAATTTAGTTTATAAATAAACACTGTTCTTTGGCAATTAAGAAATTTAATTTCCTAGCTTTTCTTCTATCAAGACCATGTAAGAGTTTTTATTATTAAATTGTAAATATTTATGTACTATGCCGTTATTATTTTTTAAATAAATATTTATAATATTAAAACAGAGAAAAAGAAATAGAAAAAAACCTTAAATTCGAAATCGTCATGAAATTAAAGCAAACGCAATGATAATGAAGGGGCAAAAAAACTGGAATGCGCCATAAACATTATATACATATATATTACAAATCATTTTGCTAACAAAATTTGTGCCATAAAATAGTCATGCTCTACTTGAATATGAATATGCCGCGGCAGAAGCTTTAATGGGTCCGGAAAATGAAGCTACCCATTCATCGCCGGCAACTGCAGTCTGTGGCCTCAGTGGCATTTTCTTGCATGGCCCTCCCCATGTTTGCTTAAAGGGCTATCTGTTTGTTGTCACTGCATTTTTTTTAATTTGTATTTTTATGTCGCCCACTCCTGAAAATGATAGTATAAATGTAAGCAATAAAGCACTAATAAAACTTTTTGATAACTTACTTCCCGCACTTCTTCGAATCAATGAATTTAGTTTCGTTGCTGGAGCATCCCATAATCAACATGGATAAAAGTAATATTTCTTTGCAGACTGCACTTAGACTCTTCAAGACTTCTCCCATTCATGATTTCGTTTCTTTAAATATTTTACATGAATACCAACCGTCAGGCCGTCAGGCGGATAATAAAATGATCAATTTAATTTTCTAGATTTTGTGAAGCATAAAAAATTTGTAAAGATATTTTGAAAACTCTCGACTTTACAATGAGACGAACATTTCGGTTTCCCTCTGTCCTTTTCGCCAACGCATACATTTTGCAGTGATTTTCCGAAAGACTAACTATGCAGTATGATGCAGTTATCGCTTGTAGTGGAGACGTTCGCCAGTTGGAAAGACATTTAAGCATAAGAGGCTACTGATGGAATTTTTGAGGCACATGTTTTTGCATGTTTTTGCTGTGATGGTCGACTATGCGCATAAATAGCCGTGAGCGGCTGAGTCTACATATTTTCTTTGTACACACGAATGATCAAATGTCTTATTGATATTTGAATAATCGCTTACCAAAACTTAAATAAGAAGAACCGCAAACGAAGAAATCTTATCGCGAGCGTGAATTTTAATGAAAAATCTGAATAGTTCGTAGATTATTGAAGCGTGTACGATTCATCGTTACTCTCACTCTAAATTTTATTTGAAACAGTTAGGAAGAGTTAATTTTAAATAAAAATTTCGAAACAGAAATAAAAGTAAAATACTAATGTGCGCAAGTTATACTCTATTTATAAGAAAAAGTTTATATTAAAAAAAACCTTTTCTTTGCATTCCAAATAGAAATTTACCTTTTTGTTAAAATAAAACGATTTTCCGTGAGCCTAGTTTGATAGACACTATTGATATGTTGTCTATTTTTATTGATTTCCGGATATAGCTTACAAACATTTGTACAAAATTTACCCTTTCTCTCTCAATTGTTTAAATTGCGAGAAGTTTGGACTTGTTTTTGGAAACAAATATGCAAATCAACAGATTAATTTCTAAATTGCAACTTTTTTCGAATTTAGTCTGGGAACCTGAACGAATCACGTAATTACAATTTAATTTTTGGGAGAGAGTTTCAAATCTAATCCTAACACATGATTTTTTGCGAAACCTACGCGTAGTGGAGTTTCGATCGGAGTGCATTTAGCAAATTCGGCGGCAAAACGAAAGGCATCGCAACGACGACCCGTCTCATCCATCACGAAAATACGTGGCACTCGACTATCTGCACAACACTCTATCACATAAAAAGAGATAATATATTTTTCTCTTGGAAAAAGCTGGACAAAGGAAAATAATTAATACATAATTATAAAGAGTGAAATATTAAGCGCTGCTTACTCGAAAACCGACCTGTCATGTTGATCACCCCATATTAAAACTTCCGCTATACTTCTTAACGATTACTCTCGGATGCCGTTGTATTTTTTTCTAAAATACTATATAAATATAACGGTTTTTTGGTTTATTCCAAGCGCCACTAAACCAACCCCACTACGAAGCATTTTTCTTCCCGAGTTTTTGGGCAACATTCACTAGTTTTTATTTCTATTAATATCGTTTCAATTTTCCCATCTTTCCAAATGCAATTTTATACTTTTAATCCGAAAATGTTCTTCAAATTAAAGCTGATTATATGCGTATAAATAGAAAATAATTTGGGTTGCGACTAAATTGTTGTTTAGTGCTTTGGAAAATACGTGAACTAAACTTATTTAACTTTACAAGTTAGCCTAAAAGTAGACCGCCATTATTTATTTTTTTTTATTATCAAATTAAACAAAACGGTAGCTAAATTTTCTGCTATTTGCAGAACGAACGTAATACTCTATGCTAAATTGTAAAGCCGTCGACAAATTCTCTGCTAATCATTAAAAAACATCTACAGAAATTCTATACAAACAAACAATTTGGCAATTTGACAACAAAAAGTTGCAACAGTAGTAGAGAATAATGCATATAAATAAATAAAGCATATTGTGAGCATTTCTTCCCTTTTTTAACTTTATTGAAAATGTTTGGTTATCTTCGTTGTGGCTTGAGGTGCGTTTCTAAAATCCATTATTTCGGACAGTATATAAGAAACGAAGAAAAATGGAAAGATTATTCTCTGATTAGACTTAATAACTTGATAAGCCTTCTCTCTCTCCCTGACATACATCTACTATAAATATATAGAAACATATATCATCATCAAAAAGAAGATAAAACTAAAAAGAAATTCTAACAGGACGTATAAGCAATCTCAATTATTAGGCACAATTAATTAATTACAATTAATGAATACACCTAAAGGTAGGCAAGCAAAATTAAATTAAATTCTCTGCTATTGGAGAACGAACGTAATACTCTATGCTAATTTGCAAAGCCGTCGGCGTATGTTCCGCACAGAGTTATTTTTAACATGACATTAATACTGGGATGTTAATACTCATCAGCAACAAATTTGTCTTTGCATCTAAGCAAAATCAAGGAGTATGTGTCTGAAAACGACTAAAATCCAAAAAATTTTTAATTTAAAGTAAATAAAAGCTAAGAAAAACTCTCCCGGCAACATTTTTATTTTGTTTATTTTTCTATGGCATATGTTTCACCCTGCTGCATGAAATTTTTTACTGGAAACACCTGTAGCATATCAGATTCTCTGGTTAGATAAATTTTCTTTGATGTATACAAAAACTAAATAAAACGAAAATTTGAAAATTTGGCAAATATCAATTTATTTATTTATTTTACTTTGGCATTTTTAAAAGTTTACAATATAGATGTATTTTTTTATACTTTATGGTACGGGATAATATTGTTTAACACTTTTATTAACCTTATATTTAGTGACTAACCTTAGTGCCACTGATAAAAATTGACAAGAGCTTTTCTTTTTATCAAATATCTTGTACTTTATTCACTAATTGAGAAAAACCTCGATTATTTACATTGCCTTTTGTTTTTAGGTATTAATAGGAGCATGCAAGCTTCAGGCCCACTATGACAAGTTGACATTAGTATTGGATCCCGATTACCTTATCAATGGCTTAATTCTAAGTATGTAATGTTAAGAAATGCGAAATCACAGATTCTTAAAAGTGTAACGCTACTTTAATGATTTATGGTAATATTTAATCCCAACATTCTTCGCTATCATCTTTAGCATTTTCGATATTAAAAGCTGTACTGGCGGCGTCTCCATTGCCGCATTGATTGTTATATTCATTATTCAATTCCAGATTGAGATCATTCAGCTCATAACACAGTCCATGATCATCATCATCATCATCATCATATTCGGGCATTATTATAAAATTACCTTCCACTTGTATATTATGATTGCGCAAAATATCCAACAATTCTTCTTGACTAACGTTCTCTTTCCTTGCAAAATCCATCAATTGCAGCCATGGCAACTGATAAATGTGACGATCCACATTGAAATATATTGTTGCATACCTATATCGGTTTATAAAATATTGTACTTCACACCAAATCTTTTCATCTTGCGTACGCTCGTCTTTATAGTACGGAAAATCTACAGTGTAAATTTCTTTGTATTTGACACCAGAAAGCGGTAAGCTTTGCCCGTTTAAGTCCGTGGCTAAAGGCTTTTTAATTAAATCGTTGCGTGCAAATAACGCCATTTGAGTAGCGAACCCTACATCTTCTACATCCCTCTTCTCGTCTGGAGGGTTGCCCAAACCTAGAAATGCCACGCTATAGTTAGGATAACGATGACAAATATTATCAGTCCAAGCCCTAAACTCTGCACGAGACCATTCAAATTTGTGATCGAAATGACGAAAACCGTTACCCAATAGCGAATCGAAAAAGACATTGAATTCGGAATTTGGTGTTGAAAATATAGCCAATTTGGGTTGCACAAATCCGAATATGTTCTCTGGAACCTTTTCCAAAACATCGGCATGCAAATGTTCAATGCTAAAATTATTATATAAGAATAGAATTAAACTATTGTTCTGTAAATTATAAAATAGGAACAGATTAATTATATGAAGACCTACATTTCTAGACCGATTACTACGTCCACATTACGCAATTGTTCAACTGAATCTGTGATACTGCCTTTCAGTACTTCTATACGCAGAGGCTCTTCTCGTTTATGCAAATAATCTGATACAAGTGGGACAGCTCTCTGCTGAAAAACTGATAACACTTTCTCATCTATATCAACCTGTTGAAAGAAAGATTCAATTATATTTTATTAGAGTGCATTGATGTTACATTATCGTGCGCAAATTGTACGCTACTTTTAAACTACAATGCTAACAAAAAAAAAAAAAAAAGAAGAAGAAAAGGGAGAGAACTTTCGATTGTAATATTCTCAATTTAAATGAAATTTTTTTTTTTTGTATAAAACGCAATCCAGTAATCTAGTCTTATATAATATAATTTACAATTGTGTATTACATTTCGCTCAAATAAGCTTCGGAACTGAAATGTATTGCTTTGTTCGCTTACTGCCAAATAAATCTTGAGGAGAAATTAGTTCACACTTACAGAGGCGCGCAATTGCCTTTTCATAATCAATTAAAAATGTATTATCGCTTGTTACATATTTAAATTTCGATTAATAGAAATATGACGACTTGTTTCCTTCTACAAAATCGTTCCAATAAATTAAATGAAATTATAATCTGATTGTGTTGTATTAACTTAAAACGGCATAAAATTTTAACAAGTAATCGAACGGTGTCTGCGGCACAGATCAATGCCTCATTAGAGGCATTCTCGTCATATTTAAACGACCTATATCAAAAGGACAGACGGACAGACAAACTTAGATCGATTCAGAACTGATTTCGAATCGGTCGATATAACAAAATGTGAGTCTATCTCTTCTGGTCGTTACATACGTTCGGAAAAACCTAATTTATTCTCCACCCCAAGTGGCTTAGCAACAGAAGAAAATGGCTTGACTCGATGGAAAATCTTAGAATTTTAAAACACCTTTACGTATGACTTACGAGCAATTCATAAGCCTAGTTTCTAACCGATCAGCCGTTTAGAAGCTATCTAAAAGTAGACGGAAGTACATCTCACCGCCGAAAGTACATCTCACCGCCGAAAATATACTTAGATGAAATATAGAAAGTACATCTCGTCATAGATAAGTCAATTTTAATTTGAAACTATACATCCAAACATAAAAGTGACATTTTTCCTCCCAACACGACGGCTTTGCTTCAAACTATGGGCCAATGAATAATCCAGTCCTTTAAGCTCTGTTACATTAGACGAACCTTCACCATCATATTGGATAATATGGAATGTAATCCTGATATGAATATTATGGAATGCTGGAAGAAATTTGACATAACAAAATGCATCGTAAACATAAAAGAATTATTGGAAGAACTGAAGCCACACAAATTGAAATCATGCTGGAAAAAACTGTGGCCTGCTATAACTACGGAAAATGGCGAAGAATCTGTGCAAGCTCAAACTTTGACCGCAAACATAGCCGAAATCGCGAGATGTGTTCGAACAGATAGAATCAAGTGACATTCAGGAATTGCTTGAATCGTAAGATGAAGATTTGACTGAAACCGACTTGGAGGAAGTTAAATTCATCGCCCATTGAAGAAGAGGCTTCAACAAGCACTGGAAACGTGACATTTGATTTGAAAAGTCTTAGCGAGGGTGTAAGAATGGCAAATGAGCTACGCGATTTCTTTATAAACATTGATCCGTCTATGGAATGAAGTCTTATTTTTAAGAGGCAAATTGCTAATGCGACTGCTGCGTATCAGCCTGAATTGAAGGAGCTTTTAAAAACTGCCAAGAGAAACTTACAAAATTCTTTAAAGCATTGCCTAAGCCTTAAGATAATTAATCAAAATGTTCAAAAACTTCAATTAAATTGATTTTTTTACATGTTTTTTTATATTCGTGAAGCCGCTCTGATGAGAGATTTTTTGGTATATCTTAATTTGGAGACGACCTCCTCTTAATAACTAACATAGAAATCCTAACTAAGTTGAATGCATGCCACTTTTTTAACTTAACTCGAAAGCCTCTTCGTTTCAACCTTCATACGGTAACGTGGTGACTATAGTTGCAAAGAAAAAGTTTCAACACTGATAGATAGAATAAGGAAAACTCTAAATTTGATGTGTCTTTTTCTCATTTCTTAGCAGACGTGATTACAGAATTGAATCCCTTTGTTCTGTCATTTAATAGAATTGAATCAATTTGGTCTGTTAAGTTGGGCATTTAACATAGCTGATTGGCGTTAACTTTTGAATTGTTAAGTTGGGCTTTTAACCATTTATTTATTATAAGCGTCTCTGTGCTTTGCCTTTCAACAGGGAATTTAGCGAGGACGTTGTTTTTGTCGGTGCTTTCAAATAAAAGAAAGAAAAACTCTTTAACAGTATTTTTTAAAAAGACGTTTACGAGACTGTAAATGTAATCTTTTATTATCTTTTATTTTAGTTTATTTTCCTTTAAACTGAAATCAGCAACATTTTTTTTCACTAACTCAGTAAAGGCATGAGAAAATTTTTAAGTTGCTTCGTGTGTTGATTGGGAAGAAATACGTTGATAAAATTGCGAGTTCCTATTTTTATATGGGTAAAAGACTTTCATCTCTTATGTTACTTTACATATAAAGTATTTTTAATTTACCTTCACTTTTTGTGGTAGTTATTTCGAATGTTTGTTTACGTATTTAGGTTTCCTTATAAGCAAGATAGCTATCTCAGTTTGCTATTCCTGCCCCATTTGCACGGTTGTACATTTTGTGATCATTTCATGGGAATTGTATTCTAGCATTTCTTGCAGTTGTGTTGCGTTGTCATAACTAGGTTAGCAGCTACTTTTTTAGAAAAACTTCTACGTGTTTGAAGAACAGATATAATAAATACCCAAAGGCATGGCCATGCTTTAATATCTTGTTAATGTGGCAACTCCTCTTACGGTAATCATACTCGCACCTGTGGTAGCTTTGTAATATGTTTATTTGTGTGTGTGGATTGTGAAGAAAAAGTAGAGGCTGAAAATTTTTTCTAAAATTTTCGTTTGTGTAAAATTAATATAGAAAGTAAATGTAAAATTAACAAATGTTTGCTCGAAGACCGTATACGGAGCAAGGTTGGAGTTTTTGCAATTTGGGGCTAAACGAATAATTGCCAAAAGGCAATACTTGATAAACGTTAAAAATCTAATTAAGACAAGTGAAACAAAAATTTTATTGGGTAAGTGTGTATGTACTCAAATAGATAATCACTTTGCGATAATTTCCAAAAAAATCTTGCAATTCTTTTTGTAAAATAAAGTAATAATAAAAAATCTTGTCAATGGAAGTGATTAACATGTGGTTTCCTCTAAAATTATCAGGTATTCAAATTTTTTCGTTTCTTAAAAAATATAAAAAGTCGTTTACCATATAGCCGACATTTCTCTCAAGAGAATTTCGGACGATTTTAATCTTGTATGTTTTTTTGTTGTTACGTTTTGTTCTCGATATTCGTATGTTTATGCGCGGGTATAGTTTTATTCTATATATGTATGCTATGCTGATGGGCTTAATTCATGAATTTCTATATAATTTCAAAATGACACCTTTACGCTGCTTTCCGTAGTGGCGTAGCGTTTTAATAAAATGAAGACGAATTTCTTGTTCGTCAAAGCAAGTGTTTCTCTTTCATATGAAAATATGTCCGGATTACGTTCGGTTATAATAAATGTAGTGTGATTCAGAATAAAAATCTTTAAATACTTAATAGAAAAGTTACGTACGTATAGAAATAAATGAATGTGGGTGCACTTCTTTTGCTGATTGTAGCAAACTTAAAGATATGTCACAACGCATAGTTTAAAAACGCTATTATTTTCGTCTTCACTATGATGGAATATTTAAAGTCCAACCTTCAGTTTAATTTCCATCCGTGTTGGATGCTTTAAACAATTTAGCCGATAAGAATGGAAAGTATTACATGGCAATAAAAGAAAGCGTAGTGAAAAGTCTCTGATTAGTATAAGTAGATGTTCTTTCCTTACTAGTTCTAAAGTGATATTATTTCTTTGAAAAGTCATATATATGCCCTTTCTATTAGAAAAATTGTAAGCTTTCTTTTTGACGAATCCGCTATTCCAACTTCTGTTGGTTTTTGTATTTTGGCTTGGGAATTTGGCACATAAATATTATAAATATTAATGGCCAAGTTGGCTTTTCAAACTTAGTATTTGATTAACCGCGACCATTTTATACGAAATTAGAGTTTAATAGCTTTGCGTAAAGGTGTATGAACTTCATTCGTCTATCTGTGAACAAAAAAATAAGTAATTGAAGAGGACGCTCGAAAGTTTTCTTATATGCATACATTTATAGCAAAAGCGCTGAAGAATTGTTTCAAGATCTTCGCATTAATTTATTACTTTTATCGTTTTATTGTTGAGCATTTTTGTAAAATTTGAAAATATTGTATTACGCTTTAAATTAAAAACAGCTGATTTTGTTTACAAATATTTCGATTCATATAGTAGAATTGAGGTTAAATGCGAGTAAATGACCGTAATAACAGCTGACGGCTAACTGATAAACAATGGGGATATTTTATCGATATTCTTAAAAATGGCACTTATGTTTACGATATAAAGAGAAAATTGATGTGAAGATCACAGTAAACAAAAAGTCAGTACTTAGCTTGTTTCCATAACTTATGATCATATAAAGAAACTATCCTTTTTTTAAACAAAAGAAACGTGGCGAAAGCAAAATCACGTACGGAAAATCTTTCACTTTTAATGACAATCAATTTTTACTTGCAGGCAATTTGTTGAAACAATGCTAAAAATATGTAAGGAAAATAGCATCAAAAAGAAAAGCTAAGCGAAAAGAGCTTCTGTATAGAAATTGTTAATTTAACAAAAAAAAAAAAAGTAAGTTGTACATACAACGTTCCTGTTTTAAATGTGTGAAGCGCTGAAAAATAAAAAGACTGAACATAACTTGTAAAAGCAAGACCTGAGATCTGTAAAGGTGGGAGTAGAAATAGGGCATTACTGGAAAGGGAAATATATTAACTAAAAGCGAACAAAACAAAAAAAAAATATCCAAAAAATAAATTGCGGTTTCGTTAATAATGGGAAAACGCGCACCGCAAACCGCTACGACAATTGATTCGCATCATTTACATCCTATAACACCGACTGCTACTGCTACCCGTAGTATACGCAAACGTAAGCGTAATCCTCCTAGCGAAGCCAAAGAACTGGAGTCGGCTTTAGCAGCACCATGCCCAAAAACGTTACGTATGAATACCTCCGCTCATAACTATTGGCAGCACTATAACGACGATGAAGATTCGTCTTCCAACGACACGCCATTACCTTCTGTACCTTTAACACCTCGTAATTATACAACTAAACAAGCTAACAATTCGTCCATACTGCTTAACAGCAGTTCTTTGAATAACAGTTTAGGTGGCGGTGGTGATTATAATTGCTCATCAACTGAGTCACCTAAACCTGTTTATACGTTAAGACCATCACTAGTTAATGGAACTATTTTACACGATTTAACGCAAAAACCTTGGCGCTTAGGTAGACCTATAGGTAAAACCTTTGAAATGCTTATAAATCAATTCAACTAACATTTCTCTTTCGCGTTTTAGGTAAAGGCAATTTTGGCGAAATATTTTTAGCCTCAGACAATATTAGCATTCCGGTTACAAATGAAAATGCAAAATATGTGGTCAAAATCGAACCACACTCGAATGGGCCCTTGTTTGTGGAGATACACTGTCTTATGAACACTGCCAAAAAGAATAGTAAGAGCGTCGTTTCCCTGTTTGCTGATTTTCTTTTATCAAAATTCTTTATTTTATTTATAGACGCTGTTAAAGAAGATTGTAAAGGTTCAGTTAACATGAATAAACCATCTGGAATACCAGATTACATAGCTTCGGGTTCTCATTATTTTGGCAGCGCTCGTTACCGTTTTTTGGTTTTGCCACGTTTTGACCGTGACCTGCATTCACTTATCAAAAATTGCCGCGTGCATCAAAAATCTGTGCTTACACTGGCTATACAAATTGTTAATGTTTTGGAAAAGCTACACGACAGTGGTTATTGTCATAATGATGTTAAAGCGCAAAATTTAATGATTTCAAAGTGCAAATATTTAAAACAGCAAAAGCAAGAGGAAGGGCAAACCACGATAAATGACAGTAAATTTCCAAACGATCAACATTTGAAGATGAAAACTTCTAAATATAAAGAAGAAAATTTTGATGAAAAGCAACAGACTACTGATAGTGGCAATAGTTCTGAGCAAGAGGCCAACGACGAGGAAGATGAGGGCTTTGTGCTCAATGGTAGAGCGTCCAATAATAACAAGAAGACGAAAAAAGACTATGATAACGAAGAGGAAGATGAAGATTTTGACGATGGCGCTACGACAAACAGCGCCCAAAGCATTAGTCTGGATATGTATAGCACACCTATAAGTCGTAATCGAACACATCGCGTTACAGCGAAAACCACAACGGCAACGCATAAGGTGGAATACAGCGGTTCAAATCCGGTACGATCATGTCGTAGACAGAAACGTAACTCCATGTATGACGAAATGGTAACATCCCATTATTTGAGACCGTCGAAACGCATTAGTTATTCTGAATTCTTCAGCGAGGACGGATCTTCTGCAAATAGTGGCAGTGTCGAACGCAGTCCGGATCACGTGAATTCTAACTCTTCGGACGAGGATTTTGAGGAATGTTTGCCACTTTCGCTGCGTCCTCGTATAGTCTCTGATCGGAAATCCTATGGTGCGAATACCAGTAGTTATCGACGTTTAACTAAACGTCAGGAAAAACTATTAAGTGCCAAAGAAAAGCACAACCTGATTGTAAAAGAAAAAATGGAACATGACATAAAATATACAAAAAATGGAAACGCTTCTTTAGCACAATATAAACGACCAGAAAGTTGGATTGAATTTGAAGAGGAGCGTATATTTCTGATCGATTTCGGTTTGGCTTCCAAGTACACCGACAACGGTGTACATCGCCCATTTATTATGGATCAGAGGCGAGCACACGATGGCACACTTGAATTTACTTCCCGCGATGCTCACATGGGTGCTCATTCCCGCCGAAGTGATATGGAATGTTTAGGATATAACTTATTATATTGGTCGCAAGGCTATCTGCCTTGGAAGGATGCAGCCAATAATCAACAGCAAGAAAAGGTACACCGAGCCAAGGAATATCTGATGACTGATGTACGTGAACTGCTTAGACAGATCTACGGAAAACATATTCCTTCATATTTAGGAGAATTCTTGCATTTAGTAAGTCAATTATCTTATCAGGGAAGGCCGGATTACGGGCGATACAAACGACTTTTTGAAAAAGAGTTCAAACAGCTAGGGTACTCGGCAGCCGAGATGCGTTTAAGTATGCAGGATATTCAACGCACTTGTGTCCGCGTTAAAGACAAAATAGAACAAAAGGTAGACTCTTTCGAAATTGGTGGGCAGCAACCTGCAATATTAAACGCGGTACAAAATTTTAACTCTGGTATCGTTACGCCGTATCATGAACGAACTGCAACGAATCGCGTGTCGCCAAAGAATCTCCGCTCAAAGTCGGATAAAAAGACTATGAAGAAAAAAACGTTTTCATGGACCGAAATTTTATCGCAAGATCCTGATCAAATCGCAAGGGAAAGAGCCGATAGGGAGTTCGATCGTGAAGAAGAACTGAGTGAAGAGCAACAGCCTGCATTAAAACGCTATCATGGTAAGCCCACTTACGCTATATTAAAAATAATAAAGCGTTTGCGAGAAAATGGCCGCGCCGTGGATAATTTCGAACCTCAAATGACACCTGATGTAAGTATAAAATGTTCTTTTAGGTTACGATAACCATGCCAATAGCTTCTAAAATCACCTTAAAAAATGAATATTTAGTCAGCTTTTAGAAATTATGATTATATAAAATAGCACTTGGCCAGCGTAACGTTTTGAACTCATTTAGTTTCATATTTTAATACCAAAAGAGACAAACGAAATTAAACTCTTCAAAATAATATTCATCTTTTTTGCTTTGTAAAGAATAACGTGCTTATGATGGAGACATCGGCTATCGGACATGACTATGTTATAGAACAAAGCGCCAAAAAGAATGACGACGAAGAAGCTGATGGAAGAAACCTGATTTCTCGTAAAAGTTCGAAGAAAAAGTTAATTTTGAAAACTTCAGAAAATGCAGAAACGGTACTAACAGCATCATGTCCAACGTTAGTGAAGTCGCGAACACGACGTAAGAAAGCCGCGCAATTACCTTTAAGATACTCACCTTCCATCGAGGTTAAGTCAACTGGTAAAATAAAAAAACGCCGTCGGAAACCGAAAAGTCCATGCGATGTAAATCACACATCAATCGAATTGAAAGGGAGTGCCGAAAAGCATTCTGCAGATACGAAGAGAGAGCGTCGCGTCCGGCGATGTCTTATAAAGGATACCTCTGCGCCAGACTTATCAGAAGATGATAGCAATTCGAACTTCAGCACAGAGAACCGCGCAACATTAAATGCTTGGAAGAAAATTAGCAATGAACCTGTGCATCTGCGTAATTTCAAGAAATGATTTGAACAATTCCCACAAGCAACACCTATTGTAGCGGTTATCGCTTAAAATTTGTTATATATTGTTGAAAAAGAGAATGATGAGAACAAATTTCGTTTAAGAGAACACACAACAGATCGGGGGGAAAAGAAGAAATGTGTGCGAGTGTATATGAAAAATGCATTGACCTTTATAAATAATCGGCACAGGAAGGCAAAGTGAAGTATTATTAATATTAGAGGAAAAATATCTTCGTTTTCGATACATATAAATGAAACCAAATCTGCTTCATGTCTAGCCTTTTTTTTCACTGGCATATATTCATATCCTTCATGCAAGCATACATATAAATATCCACTGCATTAACAAAACTTGTATAGAAATCCTTCATAAAACTCGGGTTAGTTTTTTTATGATTAAGAATTATTTTTAAACAACGGCTCATTCAAACGAGTGCATCGTTTTAGCAAAGAGATGGAATATTATTTAATAAGAAAGGAAAGTATTCATTAGATTTTAATTCTATTTACATTAAGTTTATTTTTCTATGGAATTTAGTTCTTTATTTTTTTAATTTCATTCTCTCGTTTTCAGGACTTAGTGTATCCATTATTTCTAAATGCTATACATTTTTTTTACATTATTGTTTATTTGTTGCAAGTCTCTAGCTTTAATATTATTTTATTTTTTAACTATATTTTTTTATTATTAATTTTTTTCTTTCCACATTTTTATATTCTTAGTTTTCCATTATTCGGATTAGATTATAATTAGAAACATATTTTTGTTTGCTCTTCTTCTAACTACTTGTGTCCTCAATAGTATTATTTATTTGATTTATTTAAAAAAAAAGAGTAGTTTATAGATCTTATATCCATACAAAAGTAAGCTTAGAAAATGAATCAAATCTAATAAACAAATATGAATCAAAAAAAAAAAGGCTTTTTTATTAAAAGATCTCTGATGTCAATTCAAGTGCCTGACGTTGACGCGAGTCCTCAAATGATATTTAATTCATTTTAGAGTTCATTTACTAAGTGAAATAGACGACAAGAATTAAGCAAAACAAACTGAATTGATCGATATGAAATCAAGGGCCTGTTGACTTATAGTAATTACAGGACGATTTTTCACAGACAAACTGAAAAGAATGCTCAAGGAAACATTTCTGGCAGAGAGTATTTTGCAATTTATTTATTTTTACAAGGTATTTCAATGGCTGCAAGATGACCGATGATCAGGCACAGAGCCTACTTCCGCAGAAAGCCCCAGAAAAAAGCCCATAGCCATGAGTGTAAAGTATTATTAAATTTTGTCCTGGTGGCGCTCCATTCACAATACTTCGGTAAAGAAGTTTTATTGGAAAAGAAGTCGCGGACCAATTGCGTTAAGACTGCACTGCATTTTGTCGAAACTTGTGCTTGTGTACTTACTTACACCGACTTGACAATTCGACATATTTTCTGACGGGGCAACACAGTGACGACTCCATAAGTGAAGATGTGGTGATAACTAACACCAAGCTTCTCGGCCACATAAAACTCCTGCAACGTAAGGCAAAACTATAATTACTAACTCCTCCATCGACTATCTCTTACGAAGCTCAATCATGTTCAGATGAGAACAGTTATGTAAAAGGTGACGTTGAGGTAAAACCTGGGCCGCAAGTCATTTCCAAACATGGTGGAGGAATAGCAACGTAGCAACGACATCTTTCCTTGTTCTTCTTTTCTTAACCGTCGTAATATTGCATACGGAGTATGATTCCCACCCCTTGTTAAAATGGTCGGCGAACATATTGAGCGTGTTGGTGTGGTCACGAATCTTGGCTTTAACGTCAACTCTCACTTGAGGGCGGAGGGATATGTTAATTTCACGACTTTGCATATTCATAATATTTTAAGAAAACCCTCTCCTCGTCTTACTTTCCAATCTCTATGGTAGGATATCGCAGGTTTAACTACAGATTTTCTGACATGGCTTAATATCAGAAATCGCGCTTTTTCTTTACAAGCTTGTATCACTAATATTTTTACATGAGAAAATTCAGTTCAGCGAAATGTGAACGGAAAATGAATGTAATCCTACCTGACTACAAGTGCTTAATATCAACAAGGAAATTCTTTTTTAACACTCTTAAGCTATGGAATTCTTTCCCACTTCATATCAAACTGATTGTGAGCTCAGGCCTTTTATAATCTATAATCACATCTCGATCTTGTTTGATTTCTTATATTGTACGATACCCGTATTTTATATATATCTGTACCTTTACTGTTGTTCACGTCTATGCCGAAGAAGACACTATAGTCCCACTGGCATATCAATTATTGATTATAATTATTATTGTATAATTGATTTGTTTTTAATAATTTTATCGTATTTAATTAACAAATTAAACTAAACTATCAAACTATCAAATATTTCTATGGAATCCTTCGGTTGCAAAAGGTATTAAAAATGCTACAAATATCTTAACGTTTTTAAGATCTTGAATTTGGAACCAAGTAAATACACTTGGATATATAATACAGTACATCCTGGTTCATGATTTACACCAGATTTGCTTTTATGCCCAGAAATAATAATTTAGTTGCGACCTTAAGACCATCTCAAAGAAAAGTAAAAGCTGGAACACCCTTTAAAAGAAGTACGGACAGTTTCCAGCTATACTCACGTCCTGACCAATAGTATGATGAATTCGGCAACGCAATCGTTAATACCGAAAAAAATATATTATTCTTACACCCACCAAAGAAGGATGAGGCGTATATTCATTTTTTTAAAACGGTTGGCCCGCTTATGTTAGATATTCTCGATCAGTATCAAATTCTGGATCGATTTAAGAATGCCCGACTACGTTAAGCCCGTTGTAAACATTCTCCTAGCCGCGGAAATAAAACTGTCGATTTTAATTTGAAAGCTCTTACCCACGTGTGGTATTGCAAAGGAATCAAATCGGTTAGGGGACACGCCTACACTACCATGCAAACTGGGAACACCTCCGTTTTCAAAAGGAATACAAAATTGCTTTTCTAATCGTTAATTATAAACTATATAAGATATATGTACAAAAATTTGAACGTATATTCCCTAGACGATGCTGCATTACCTGCGCAATGATGATGGAAAAGATTGACTGCACCTATCCAATACTATAGCGTATTAAAGTTTAATTTTTTTTTAATGCCTGTGTAACGTGCAAGCTTCAAAAACCAAATAGAGTGTATAAATTCTCGGCGAATTTCAAATTGGAAATGCATCTTAGCATGTCTGTCTTACCGTTGGTCCATTTGACCATCTGCCTAACTGTGTTGCATCTATGGTAAACATTCTTCCATTAACGAATTTGATGATATCGCCTACAAATAAGCAAAAAAAAATTTCGAGGTGACCTAAACTTTTTAAGGGACCACGCACACACGTCTATATAACAAAAACTGCGAATACCTTCGTTTTCCCTGTTTTTTTCCTTGTTACTAATTGGGTACAACCAGCCACGCCCACCCGGTATTTTTGAAAATTCAGTTCTTTTATTTTTTTTTTTTAATCTTTTATAAGGAAACGGTGATGAGTATAAGCGATCCAGTCATGACTGAGTGGTTCTCCTTTTTGGTTTTTACGCCAGAATTGCAAGTATTTTAATATGCTAGGGAATTTACTTGACTTAAGAATGAAGGGACATTTTTTTTACTTTTTCTAACGAATCAATTTTTATATCACTTACTGCCAAAATATGTTCCACTTTCGGTATACGCCGCAGAAGCGGTAGAAGACGCATTTCAGAACAACCAAAATCGACAATCTATGGGAGATTAAACATATGCATAGCACTCTTTACGCATGGGGGTTTTAAGACCACTTTTGTAAATACCTTTTTTAGGGATTGTCGCCAACGCGGATCTTCAATAATGCGCACAGTTGTTGTGTATCTTTGTTCGTATAATGCTGGATCGAATTTAATTTGTCCTTCTTTTGTCACAAAGGTTTTTGTGTTAAGACCGCCGTTGGGCAAATCATAGGAAAACATTTTAATACACGTAATTTACTGAACAGATTTAATCTATAATATAAACAATTTAATTTATAAAACTTTCACGACTTTCAGTTTTTTCACTAAATTTACTTATGCGCACTTTTTAAACCCGTTATATGAAAAATTACGCCAGTTCTGTAAAATCAGCTGGTTAAGCTCACTACTGTGAACGGAATTCTTGCAGATTCTTATTTTTGCAACTAGTTTTATCTTTCAAATTCTACAAAAATTCCAGCGAGGTCGACAAATAATAGGTTTTAAACAAAAATTTTTGAAATTAATGTAAGTGCATAAACAGTTAGGTTAAAAGCAATTAAGCGTTGAACAATTTTTAGTTTTATTGTTGTGCTCAACAGAATATTCTCGCAATTATTTTTAGAATTCATTAAAATTATATTATAGCATCTTAGCTTATGGACTTTTAAAGAAGTTGCAATTCTCTATATTAATTTTTTTAGCCTTTACGAAGTCCTTTACACGATTAACCAATCAATAATTTAAAAGTAGTTATGTGAATACGTTTTTTGGCAACCTTTGCACACGCAAAACTTTAACTTTCAATATTGTTTTTGTTTTCTAATGTTTGATTTTCCAATTTAATTTTGCTGCGGGGTCTTATATTATTTCCTTCCAATGTTACCTGCAAACCTACAAGTCGCTCTGTTTTTTTTTTATTTTGAATATTAAAACAAAGAAGGGATAAAAAATCTTCGGTTGTGGCACAGCACAAGCCAATGTTAAAAAGGTCATAATAATAACAAATAATAACAAACACTAAATCCACGTCTTTTCGTAATAAAACATCATCAATTTTGTTGGTAAAAAAAGCGATATTTTGGGATGATGAAAACTCTTCCGCTTCTTTTACGGTTCGTCCCCAAAGAGCTTTAATTTCAAAACCTTTTTCACGTAAAATTGGCACCAATACTTTCGTAATGGCTCCAGTACAAATTAATGTAGTTAAAAAATGAAAACATATAAATTTTAGTGAGCATATGTTTGTACAACATACCCAGACGCATTCTATTAAATCTGCGGCTACCACATCACCCTTATTCAATATGCAGCTGCTTAGGAATAATCGAGTGTGAAGTCCGGCTAACCGTAGACCTTCTCTTAGTTAGAATTCGCAATTGTTCAAATTTTTGCTAATTTATAAACGAAGACGTTGTCAGTTTTAATACTAACTGAACCAATTTCCTTGGCAACAAAGTTAATGTCTATCAAATTCTTTCGCTTGCATTCAACTATCGAGCCCAAATAATAGTACATTCTGTTCGTCCTCCTTACCAAAATATGCAAGTCTATGTGCTATCACCTAACAATGCTACTAAAACAGGTAGTAAAAATGATAAAGGATCTCTGAGGTTTAAATTTTCCCTTAATATCCTCCCTAATTTGTCCAGAACCATCGAGAGTTGGCAAAGTAGTTTCGGCCCCTTTCCAGCTATTGCAAGTAGTTGCATTAACTGGCAAACTGTTTCGAACATACGTCTAAGGAACCACGAAAGACCCTTCAATTGTGGAAATAAAAAATCTTAAATGCAAATATATACTTATCAGCATCCTTCTGATTTGCCGAAAAGTCGTGAGTTTCAAATTTTGAATGAAAGCTCTACTATTGTTATTTAATTTTAATTTTTATTTTTCTTAAAAAAAGACGCAAATGATAGTATATTAAATTTTTACAACCTTTAAATTTTAAAACCAAGAGATATGAAAAATGTATAAAAAAATATTTATAACGAAAAACATTTTCCTTCTTTCCATTTCCCTCCGCACGCCATCATTCAATGATTAACGAGATCACGTTTGCAATTTAGATATGTAGTTTAAAGAAAGTTGCGGAAAAATATACAAAATAAATTTCTATCTATCTAGCTCCGCCCACATTCACATAGCACCAAGGCCATCACTACATTTGATTAGTACTTTTTACATGCGCCGAAGAGCCAACAGGACCTGCGGCGAAAAATAAAGGTTATATGTTTAACTTTGCAATGGACTAAATTTTGCTAATAATAATAAAAAAATTTTCAGCATAATAAACTCATCAATTTTGATTTTATGACAGGGATAACTAAATAATTCATCATTGATCTTGAATTGTAGCCAAGCTTTGAATGCATGACACACCCACCTTTCAGTATAAACCAATGAAATTCGGTGAAGTTATTTAAAACAGTTCCTCGACTTTGGAGGTATCAATCAAACGAACGCCAGTAGAGACTATTTTGTACCTATAATAAGAGAGTTTGTTGTAGATAAAGTGCAATATCATTTTCTTTTGAATATTTTTAAAAATGGTAATCAGACGAAGGTAATCAACATAAAAATATTCAGTTATATGCTTGTCTATTAAGTTGATCATCATATATAAAGATCTTCACTTTTTAAATTTGAAATGAGCAATGGAAAACTTACGTTTGATATGAAATGTGAGTCCCGTTTGTCCATTTGGCTTAAATGTCGCTAAGAAGCTTCTCATTTTGTTAATTTATCTAAAAGAAAAAAAACAACGGCCATTTTAAGTAGATTGCAATAGGAAAATCTCACTGCATGTCTTCACACAAATTATTATCAGAATAAAACCGTTCTACACGAACGTTAAGACTGGGGCGGTAACTAATATCATCACTTTGTGGTTATCAAGAAAATACAATGCGGAAAACTAACCTCAACATTGTCTGCGAAGGTGTAGAGACTTTACAGCGAGTGTCGCTTAAAAGCTCACTTTACTCCTTTGTCTGAAAGAAAGAATGGAAATTTTAAATCAATTAATATAGAAACAGAATTGCTTTGCATATATTCGCACAATCTTTTGTCAGAATAAAACCAGTCTACACGAACGTTAAGACTGGGGCGGTAACTAATATCGTCACTTTGTGGTTATCAAAAAAATACAATGCGGAAAACTAACCTCAACATTGTCTGCGAAGGTGTAGAGGCTTTACAGCGGGTGTCGATTAAAAGCTCACTTTACTCCTTTGTCTGAAAGAAAGAATGGAAATTTTAAACCAATTAATATAGAAACAGAATTGCTTTGCATATATTCGCACAATCTTTTGTCAGAATAAAACCCATCTACACGGACGTTAAGACTGGGGCGGTAACTGAATCATCACATTTTTAGTTTTGGAAATGCAACGACAAAAGCCTACAGCTGAAGCCTAACCTGTTTGTTTGCAAGTTTTAGGCAAGTTTAGGCAGGCATTTCTAAATCATATTAATAATCCTGATGCATTTATCGCAAAAAGCTCTAGTCAATACAACTTCCTTTCAACATACAAATTATGTTGTTTCCCTGCGTCTTAAATTAGCTGGAATTATCTTACTATTTATAGAAACATCGTATTATTTATACTCGTATCCACCTAACTTGCTATCGTACTTACGAGAATTTATTATTCTGTTTATTATTTTCATTATTTTATTATTTACATATTATTTTCAAAAACACGTTTCTGCAATCTTACCTACGTACTTTTCGGTCGTATAGTATACTTTTTTTTATGTTACGTACCACGTGCTTAATAAAATTTACTTTGCTGAACATTCCTGCCTCCACCAGTGTTCATGGTTTTACTGATAACTAAATTTACTTTACCTTCCAAAGAAAAATGTGCTAGTGAAAATGGCTTGTTTTTCTTCAAAGCAAAGTTGGCTGCAGTTGTGTCAATGTTGCCAGCAGTAAAAGCAGTCTGCCAACCTATTTACCAATAAATAAGTTGAAAGTTTCTTTGTTTAAAGGCCGAATTAGTAAATCAAACTATTAGATGGTTTTTTTTTTTTTTAGATATAAAAATATTAATTTTTTGGAAGTGTACTATTTATTTTAATAAGTTGTCAAATTTGGTGCAGTCGTTATAGATTTTTGTGCATTTTTAGAGGTACACGTTTCTACCCAGATATATTTTTGGGCAAATTCCGGCCGTTTATCAATTGATCAATTGTCTTCATGTAAGAAAATATATACTAATTTTTAATAATTCAAATTTTGGAATAAGATGAACAATAACCAAGTTTGCCTGGAATCTCGCCATTTTCAATGCACATACGAATAAAACAAGTTAAATCTAACGTAATCGAAAAAATACTTATAGAGTCTCTTATGGGTACTCCTAAGAAAAGTCTTATCGGAATCTTATGCATTTCGAGAATACCTTGATCTGACGTGTTTTACTGCTTGAAATGCTAATTATGAATGGTAAGGGTGGTAATCATGTAAGCAGGCGATCAACGCCGTGATTATCGCCTCATTTTAAAGGAGACAATTGATTATCGTCAAGAGGCTAATCAGGTACCATAGTGGAGTAATAACTGAGCGAAACGTAAAAAATGAGAGCTAAGTTCACATTTATTTGTTTTGTATAAACAAACTACATATGTTAAACAATAACAAGCAGTCAAAATGAAATGAATAAAACATTATGCAGAAGAAATTTAATGCGGTTGTTAAAAGGAAATCTTTTATTTTTAAACCTTGTCCCAGTTCACGCCTAAAACTGACTATAACAAGATCTCAACAGACTGTGATTTCTAAGAACACTTTGCGTTCTGCGACTAAAAATGTTTCCGTCCCATGATACTTTAAAACGCACAGTGTTTTAACTGAACTCAAATAATGTTGATTTTTGCATCTTACGTAAAGTTTTTCTGAAAGATGACGATTTTTATTATCGTAATAACAAAAGTACAATTCAAATCACCAAATGTCCTGATGACAGCTATGGTGATGTTAGCATACTAGTTAAGAAAGGCGAGAATTTCAGACGTATTCTCTACAATTCTGCTGTTGACATTATTATCATCAAAACCACAACAACATGGTACTTTCCATCCAGAGATTATGTGACCTCCTTGGTGGTGAACAAAATGTGATTATAGCTGGCGATTTCAATGTTAGACATTGCCGATCGGCTCTTTACCAATAAAAGCAAGTTCCTTGTAAGTGCCATCAAAGCGAGCAGTTTTAAGGTTTTAAATAATGATAATCCTACCTTTCACTGTAATCGAAGTGGTCGCATGGCGGGTAGTGTCTAACTGTCTATAATTCAATCATTTTGTCATTCAACTGAAATACGACTAATTTCTTAATTCGCAAAAGTCAACATTTCAATGTTGGAACAATCCTGTAAAAAAAATAGAAAATGTCATATTACAAATGAGCCTTTGATTTTGATAGTGGTATAAGTCAAAAATTTTAAAAATTGTGTTTATTAGTTATTTCATATCAAATCCTAATAAAATAACATAATCTGAAGAGTTTAGCAGTATGCCATGAAAATTAACTCAATGAAACGGTTTTATTTTTTGGTTGGTAAACAAAAAACAATTACTGTTTGTTTTGATAGTGGTATAAGTCAGTCTGTTCACAAAGTTTGGCAAAATAATTAGTAATTTTGTCATGTCTTCAGATAGCGGTTCAGATATGATAGAGCAATCGCCTCAAGAGGATCACAGGAAGTTGCGTCATGCATCTTAAAGCACATTCGGGACATTACCACTCAAAAGCATGTCATAGCTTACAGTGATGCCTGCTCAGCAAAAAATCGTAACATTAACATAGCTTTAATATGATTAAAAATTGTTCATTTATCTGATAATAATGTTGAAACAATTGATCATAAATTTATGGTATCTGGCCATTCTTTTTTGCCAAATGATCGCGATTTTGGTTTGATAGAAACTAAAATTAAAAAATCGAATTATTTATACATCCCTGAGCATTATTATAATTTAATAGAATCATGTAAAAAGAGAAACCCATTTGTGGTAGTACAAATGGCCCAGAAAGATTGCATTTCGACAAAACAACTACAAGAATCAATGAATAATAGAAAGAAAAACACCAATGAAGAAGCTGTGTATAAGATGTTTTATAAAACTTCCTTGGATGACAACTCCGATTTCAAAGTATTAGACCTTTCGCCTAAAAGAGGAAGACCTAGAATATTCGAAAATATTGATTTGCTTTCATTATACACAAGCATTAGACCAATAACAGAAGAAAAACGTAAAGATATGATGGATTTACTACCCTATATCCCACCAATTTTTCACAAACTCTTTATTTCCCTAAATACTAATAAATAATTTACTTGGTTACAATGAAATGAGTTTGAATAGAATGTTAATAATAATTATTAATTATTAATAAAAATGTTTTCTTGAAGGTATAAGTCATTTATTAAGTCATGCAGTTAATTTTGAAAGTGGTATAAGTCATTTCAACCTTTCAAAACAACATTTCCTTTTAAAAATGGTTATAAATTTCACAATCATAATAAATACTTTTTTGTTGACACTACTTTACTGTTGAAAAATAATATTCCATAATACAAAAATATTTTTTAATCCTTTAAAATGCAAAACTCAAAATATCTCGAAACAAGGAAAATGTGCCTTATACCACTATCAAAATCAAGGGCTCAAATCAATATCATCTTCATAATGAGATGATACGCCCTGACAATAAAACTTTGTGAATTTTAGAATATTTGACGATCCGAAATTGTGTGAGCAAGACGAAGAATTGAATTTTGTAAATATTTGATGACCTAAAATTGTGTGAGTAAGAGAAAGAATTGAATTTTTAAAATATTTGATGACCCAAAATTGTGTAAGCAAGAGGAAGAATTGAATTTTTAAAATATTTGACGACCCGTAATTGTGTGAGCAAGAGAAAGAATTGAATTTTTCAAATGTTTGAAGGCCCGTAATTGTGTGAGCAAGAGGAATAATTGAATTTTTAAAATATTAACGGCTACCAGCTTCACACCGCTTTGCTAACATTAAATCAATCGTCTACGGTGTTGATGGAATACCGTTAAAATTTTTAAAAAGAGCTTTTGGATTCTTAACATAATATCTGAACAGCATATCCGTGCCGAATTGAATGCAACACTATTATTATTATCCTGCTATCCTTGCCTAGTTTTAGATTTTTTTGATATTTAACAAAAAAGAATTCAATTTAACACATTTGTCTTCTAATAAAAATTTTTCATTTTCTTATATAACAATAGATAGATTGACTAGCATCAAGGGCAAATATTGAGAGAAGGGAGTAACAAAGACTTAAACGTTTCAAGAACGAAATAGTGTTGGAAGCATAATATTTTCATTTTAAGAATGTACATAAATTGTGGTAACTCTCTCGAATTTGTCTGATTGTTTGTTGTAAGCGGAAGGATAAATTTACAATCACTTGCCCAGCACAACTAACCAGAAATCAATTTTGAACGAATCGTTTAAATGAGGGGCATAGGGTTTACGCATGCTGATGATTAAATTTAAAAAAAAAATTTGTATAATATATCAGGTGAATGGAGCTTCAATTTACTTTATGATCAAGTAAATATATTTTACCGGCTTTTCTCACTAAAGGTTATTGTTGTGCTGTATGGAACGAGCATGATAATAAATGGTACATTGGTATGCTCAAGAGTTACGTTCGAAGTGACAATTAGATTGTAAGGCTTTCAACTCCTTTCAGTTGTCTCAATAACACACCCTTGTTATTACGTGAGTTAATACATATTTTACATACCAGAAAGAGAGCTACCGGTGCAGGTTGTAATGGAGTTAAGTTAGATATGGTCAGAGCACTGTCCGGGGAAAGCTTAACTGTCTTGTTGCATGTCTTAACGGTCCATTAACTTTGTACCTTTAGGTTTGCGGTGATGAGGCAAAGACTTAAGCGATTTTAGCAACTTTAGCACCATTTCACTAATATCTGTATTCATAAAAATTATTAATCTCCTGGTTGAGAAAAGGATATTGAATTTTTTGAAAACATTCCAGTTATTCCAGTTCGTTCTTATGCGTATCAAAAATGCATATCCACGAATGCGTGCGTTAATGAATTATCTTTTCTTATTGCTGGTTTAAAGAAAGCCCTGTCAACCAATTTTCGCAAGTATCGAGCTGCAAGGAAAAAAATGAGTGAAAACGGCAATCCAGCCAAATTCGTTTAATATATCAAAGCCCTGAAGGAATGGAGTTGAAAGGGGGAAAGGACACATAAAATCGTCATGATTAAAAATCGGAACTCGGAGTTTTTCTGGGATTACTTCAGCGGCCGTCGACAATTTAGGCATGATAATAAAAGAGAGTTAGATATCCTCAATAGCTATATTCCAATGTTAATCAGATGACAATATCTTCAATTTCTTTCACTAGTTTACTTTTCTTCTTACGTGGAGTCAAGTATGATTCGGTCAGGACACTGTCGGGGAGAACCTTGACTGTCTTGTTGCTTGCAGTTATTAACTATGAACTTTATACCCTTGGATTTGCAATGCATCAAATTTGTTTCAATTCCCAAACCAGATAAACACTTAAGCGATTTTAGACGCACGTTACTAATATCTGTATTCGTAGAGATCATTAATCTCTTGGTTAAGGAGAGACTAATGGATTTCGTGCAAACTGGGAACATTATTCCAGCTCGCTCTTATGCGTATCGAAAACGAATATTTACGAATATGTTACGTTACGTTAATGAACTATCTTTTCTCATAGTTAGTCTAAAGAAAGCTCGTAAAATGGTTGTTATGTTTTCCCTGGCTTTCAGCAAAGCCCATGATTATGTTAACTTTATGAAGTTCGGTAGAATTCTGTTAAACTTTTCAATTTTTCTTCAAGTCTGTGGATGCTAACCTTTTTAACCAAACGTAGGTTGGCAATAAGTACAGACAAAGTTGAAGTATATGGTTGTATTCATCAAGGCAGTCGCTTGAGTCCCATGCTCTGTAATCTATTTACAGCTAATTGCATGATCTTCAAGACGACAAAACTCCTATTATTCAATATATAATATATAATATATTATACAACCTACTAACTAAACTTACACTTACAACTAAATTTACACTTAGCATATCATGGCCACTGCTTTTTTTTGTGTTTAATACACATTTAATATACATTTCTTGCAAATGATTGCTACTGTTTATTACCTAAGCCGCAAATCTTATTGCTCGGTTCGTCTTAAAATCTAAAAAAAAATGTGTATAGTTTATGTTAGACTATAGTTAATTCAATTTAGTCCTATATTTAAAAAAAAATTGTCAAATTTATCAAATTTTCACATATGTAGCTTCAAACATACTTTATATTTTTCCCTAATTTTTTTAAATTTTTGAAGTAGTAATTAATTTTTGTTTGTATTTCTCTTTTTTACAAACGCAACTTTAAAAGAGAGGTTTATGTTATCTTTGCTAGGATTATACTCAATACTAACGCAAAATTTACTCTCAACGATAGCAATTTTATTGTCGGCAGATTTGATATAACTTATAGAGCGTATGTGGGGACAGTCACTAGTAAATTTGCTAACATGATTAGATTTTATTGGCGCTTGTCGACTGCTTAGATGATTACCCACACTATACGTCATTTCATTGAAAGTTGGTAAATAATTAGTAAAGCTCAAGAATACTTAAGGAAGAAGAAAAAGCAACCTATACCAAAACGGAAGAAGAGCAAGCAACCACAAAATGCCAGTTATGGGTGAGGAATTGGTTATCGTAAATATCTTAAGAGTTTTAGCTTTCCAAAATGTTGCCTACCTAAGCAATGAAATATCATACATTCACTTGCGTTCTATTGCTGTGTTAGATTTCATTAAATGAACTTAAACAAAAGTTAGTAATTATTGTAATTGTATTGAAATTTCACTCTTAAAAAACTCAAAGTAGTTTTAAATATTCTGTTAGTGGTATCTACTTGGAAAACATATACTGGCGAATACTTTAAGATCACTATGCCAGGACAGTCTTTATTTGTGTTACAACAACTACTTTGGAATACGTGGCATTGGTAAATCTGCTGCGTATAACGTCTGCGGTCTCTCGATAATTGAACATCAACCTAGTGGAATACACAAATTCCAAATCACTGGAAATTATCATCAACTTTTAGAGAATTTTTTTCTATTCGGTATGCTATAAAACTACAAGCAGCCGGAACGCTTTCCTATACTCATTGACAAAAGGTCTACGTACCCATGAGTGGGTGGACACACTTATGACAAAATGCATCTGAAAACGGTCGGATCCACAGCGAATAATACTTGTGCAACATAAAAGGACCACAGGAACACGCAATCTTTAAATGTCCAAAATTTAAAAATAGCAGAAGATATTTCATTCAGTGCTTGCAAAGATGCTCATCTCAAGAAATTAACTATTTTTATTAAGAAAGTAAATATATCACCTTAATCGTCTAAATCATTCAAGTTGTTTTAACTATATATTTCGAGATTATTACTTTGAATAGTTGCAAAAATGTTGGTTTTTCTCACTTCCCATTTTTTTCTTACTTCTTAAGTTTTTACACACTTTTTTTAGGTAAGCCAAAGCTTGCAGTTCTTTATTGAAAAACCCGGTTCTACATTCATATCTATTGCACATAATCAACGAAATTATACAAATTACCATTAAGAATACATGCAATCATCATAATGGCTTACTTCAACAACGCAATATTCAAAACAAATTAAACATTTAATATTCTTTTGTTGTGTAGTTCGGAGGTTTAACAGTTCTGTTCTGTTCTGATCTGTTTCTTGTGTTTCGCACTAGTTTGTTATTTGCGTATGTTTTCATTATAATTATTTGGAGAAACTTGGCACAAATAGGTTTTTAGTCATTTTTCATAAAAAATGTAGAGGAATGTCAATTTTACTCTCAGAAATAGAATTTTATTCTCAGCAGAATAAAGTGTGATGGCTAAAGTGTCCAGTTTTGTTCGTTTCATTTGCTCTTTTTCATGCAAGTAATTTGAAAGTGGCAGTGTACGCAGTTCTTTTTTAATTAGTTAGTAATTTTAAGTAAAAAAAAGAAAATAGAAAGATTTTGTAAATTCATTGTTATTCACATCTCAGCAAAGAAGGCATAAAGCTTTTTATTGATTTTAAAAGGTAAGTGCTATGGAAAAAGAGATAGAATGTTGCAAATAAAAAAGAAATAATTTGCTAAATTAATTACCCGATGCAGTTATACTAAAATTGTGTTAATTTAATAATCGCCTTTTTTTAAATTTTAGATGATCAAATATATATTGTTTTTGCTGTTTGAGGCATCGGTCCTCCTGCAAGGGTTCCAAGCCGTTAAAGAAGACAAATTCATACGAATACCGCTTACTCGTATTAAAACCGCTCGTAACCATTTTCATGAAGTCGGCACAGAGTTGCAGCAGTTGCGTTTGAAATATGGAAGTGCTAACGACGTCCGACCTGAACCGCTATCCAATTATCTGGATGCACAGTATTATGGGCCCATCTCAATTGGTACTCCAAGTCAAGATTTTAAAGTGGTTTTTGATACTGGTTCTTCAAATTTGTGGGTCCCTTCAAAGCAATGTCATTTTACCAATATTGCGTGTTTAATGCACAACAAGGTGAGAATAAACGTATACAATTATCAAACAATCACTTGAGTACACACGGGAACGCACATTCATAACTAATTAAATACTAAAAAAAAAACATTAAGTTTTTATATATTTATTTATATATTATTATTATTATATTTATTTACGATTTTAGTACGATGCTAAAAAATCTAGCAGTTATCAGAAGAACGGCACTGAATTTGCTATACACTACGGTTCTGGAAGTCTATCTGGTTATTTGTCTACTGACACAGTAAATATTGCTGGTTTAGATATAGAGGGACAAACTTTTGCCGAAGCGTTAAGTGAACCTGGTTTAGCTTTCGTCGCCGCTAAATTTGATGGTATATTGGGCTTAGGGTATAGTTCAATTGCTGTGGATGGTGTCAAGCCTCCATTCTATCAAATGTACGAGCAAGGATTGATTTCACAACCAGTGTTTTCATTCTATCTTAGCCGTGATCCCAAGGCTCCGGAAGGTGGTGAAATAATTTTTGGTGGTTCCGATCCTAATCATTACAAAGGCGAATTCACTTATCTGCCCGTAACACGCAAGGCCTATTGGCAAATGAAAATGGACTCTGCTTCTGTGGGTAATTTGCATTTGTGTCAGGGAGGCTGTCAAGTAATAGCCGATACGGGGACTTCCTTAATAGCTTTGCCTCCAAATGAAGCCACGTCGATTAACAAGGCCATTGGTGGCACGCCTATAATGGGAGGACAGTATATGGTAGCTTGTGAAAGCATTCCAAATCTGCCTGTTATCAGATTTGTATTGGGTGGCAAAACATTTGAGCTAGAAGGCAAAGACTACATTTTACGCATAGCCCAAATGGGGAAGACAATTTGTCTTTCTGGTTTTATGGGCATCGATATACCGCCACCGAATGGACCAATATGGATATTGGGTGACGTTTTCATTGGCAAATATTATACTGAATTTGATATGGGTAATGATCGCGTAGGTTTCGCTGAAGCTAAGTAACACTTTGATATTATTCCTTTGCTTTGACTTATATTTGCTTTAAAGATTTACTGTCAATTTTCAAAATGTTGATTTCCTTAGTCACTAAAGTGTACTATTAAGTTACTAATTTAATAAACATTCCAACAAGAAATTGTATGAAATATGTCTAAATGACGTGAAAAAAGCCTGGTTAGTATAAATAATTCCCTCCCCACTAAGCTCTGTCTCCTCACTTGTTTAGATTCAGCAACAAAGAACAAAGAGTGCAGATGAAAAAAATTTCTGTCAGCAAAACAATAAATAGCAGCTCTTGCAATAGACTTTGCAGCATATGAATGTCGACGAATTGTTTACAAAATGGCTATCAAATTTTATCATTTATTGAATGCTTTGTCTGCTTCTGTAGGGAGAGGCCAAGTTTCGCCTTCGGCCAAATATAGAAAATTATTATTAAATGTTATTGTAAAACGATTGCAAAAAACAGCTTTTTACTGATAACACTATGAACTGTTGGATTGGGAAATTGCATGCAAATATAAAAAAAACACTTCTTTTATCACCTATCACATATACACCGAATGTTTGTGCGGCTATGAGTAACAATTCTCTTTTCATACTTACGGAAGATATTTTGTCATGCAATTTGCGATTTTTGAAACAAGTCACCCAGCACCCGTTCACACAGAACAAAAATGTTGTAATCAGAGGCAATTGCCTGGAAATTTTCAAGAGTTATGGAAAATTCGGTTAATCAGACAACAAGTATGTCCACAATAAAACAAAAATCTGAAACTGAAAATGTGTCTGTGCAAAAATAGAAGCACGTTTTTTCGGAGAAAAATGCTTTAGTAATCAAAATACGTGTGAAATTCAATATCGATACGGCCAAGCCTAGAATACATCAAAGTTGAGCGATAGACTTAGGGTGGAAGCCTAGAGTTAGGGTGGCCAAACTTAAAATCCATAGATGAAACTAGCTAAATGTACTCTAAAGAACTTTTGGGAAATATACCCATAGCATGAGATGATCAAGTATAGTTCCCTGGATTGGAAAAATTTATAAAGAGTGCTACGTTGCCTAAATGCGATCAAGATTTGTTTTTTTTTATTTTTACAATAAGAATTGAATAAGCGAAAACGGGGGAAAAAATGTGGTCACAGTTTTTGTTTCGTAGACGTGTGGGCGTTGTAGGCGTGTTCTTTGGAAAATTTGTAAGCGATATCTTCGTTTCCGCAGAGGAGAAAATGTTTCCATAGGCACTACGCACTCGCACGGACGAGCAGATGGGCAGATGAATGGACGGACGTGATGATGTGCTTTCCAAACTTTATATATATTTTATGAGGTTCTTCAATCTTGCTTCTGCGCGTTATAAAAGTTGTAAAAGAAAAAATGAATTTATGTGATACATTATAAGACGAAATAGGTGTTTCGGATTTTTTCTCCTTTTTTGCAGCCGGTAAAGAATCTCTCATAAAATATGAGTTCAATTTCTTGTAGATTCATTTGACATAGTTTATGAGCGAAGCAAAAAACCAATTTTTTATTTCTTTTAAGAAACAGAGATGTTCTCAGTTTGCGTAGTAGACGTGCGTTTTGGCTGATTTGGCCCATTTTCAAAAACGTTTTCAACGTGCTTGTAAGCGCTCTTAATCCATTTTTGGGGCCAGAAGAATGTTTACGGTAGACGTCGCACAGACGGACAAGCTTAATTCGATTTAGAGTTTGGTGCTGATCAAGAATATAAATTTTGTTCGGGCTCTTTCCGAGCGTTGCAACCGTTTAGGTTATATATTTTCTGTCGTTCGGTGATAGATGTAAAAAATCTCGTCTAAATAAACTTATTGCTGCATATCACCATTAATTAGGGCAAATGAAGATGATGAGATAAAAATTGAGATGAGTACATTGAGCCAGGAATAGAGAATGTCGGTATAACAATGAAGTGGCAAGACAAAGAGAATAAAATATCATAGTGTCATGTTTGGAGAGGACGAAAATGAAGGAAGTGGACATGAGGAAACTTGAATAATAGCAACAAGGAAAAGGTTAATTGGTCATGCATGCCTTTGTAACAACGGGTAAAGGAGTCGTTTTTATGTGAATATAATTATTACCGCAATTAATTATAAATACAATACTAATCGTAGTTACTATGCTTAAAAAAAATTTTTTTGATTTTTAAAAAATTTTCCCACCTCTTTGATATTTATGTAAGCTAAACTTTACCATATGGTTTACCTATGAAACATATGATTACGCACTAAATAAGTCAAACGCATAGAACCCCGCGCGTGTTGTTATTAAAAAAAATTAAGATAAAATTAACGAAAAATGGATATATCCTCGCAACAATCAACTGAGCGAAAACGACGCTATAAGGAATTGCTAAATGATTTAAAGAAACAAAACGACATTGATCATAATTTCTCGGTCGATGATTTGGTGAAACTACAGCGAAATATTGAAATTAACAATGAGATTCATGAGGAAAATGCTACAGCCATGAAGGAATCGCATAATAATAATGCTGAAATACTAATGGATGCTCACGTTTTGAAAGGCTTTCACGAGGTGATATCGAAGATGTTTGTTGAAAGTTCGGGATTCAATGATGCCGCTTACGCTCATGCATTAAATTCTTTTATTAATCGAAGTGAGAAAAGCGATTGGGATATTTTAGCTAATATCGCTATGGAAGTCAATAAGGCGGTTTACACAAAATCGAGTATGCTAGGCGCAGCTGATATTGAGCCCAGAGAACGTTTAACTAAGGAACGTCAGAAACGTCGTCCAAAAACATCAACGCAAGAAAAACGTCCAGAAGTTATAGGCAAATTAAAACGCAAAGATCGCGGTGCTGAGAAAATCAATATAATACTGAAACAAGTGAATGATTTATATAAAGCGAACAATTGTCGACCAATACCTTTCTATAAATTGATTATTGATCCTGAAAATTTTATGAATACTGTGGAAAATGCCTTTCAGATCTCTTTTCTGGCTCGAGACGGTAACATTGCTATCGAACGAGGTGAGGATTCGTACCCGCAAATTCGGGTTGCAAATTCAGACGAAGTAAAAAGTAAGATGGAAACCACGCAGGCAATTTGCTCATTGAACGTGGAATTATGCGAGAAAATGAAAAGTTTTTACGGAATAGAAGAGTCAATGCTTGTTGTACCAGAGGATGAAGACTCGTCCGACGAAAGTGAGCATTCAGAAAATGATGATATCAATGTACAATAAAATCTCTAATTATTATTTATTATTATAATTATTATTTGTTATAATTATTATTTATTTATACGCAGTAGGTGGAGATTAGGCTTAGACTTCAATCAGAATTGTCTAACGATATTCTTTTTTTCATTATGGATTTAGTATATACAAAAAACCGAGCGATAATCGAAAAGGAAAGTTCCTCTTTCTTTTTTTTACCACAAAGGTCTTTTAAGGAGTATTACTAGTTAAAGATCATAAGAAATAATCAGTATAGATATAAAATGCTTTAAAAATGATTATAGAATAAATAAAGAAATTGTTCATCTTACGTGCAGTTGCTTTCCTTTAAAAGTACTAAGTCTGCTTCAGTAGTCAAGAAGCCAAAGGCATTGGTACACCTAGACTACGTCGAATTCTTCGCAACTACTCCCACTAGTCAAGATAGCTATGGCCAAATTTCGATGATGGTGATGAATTTTGTAGAAAAGAAGATCTTCATTCGATCTTACATGATATTATTTCGAATTAGAAGGATGGCGTCTTTCGAGGGATTATTGACATGCATCTATGTCAGAATTAGTTAAGATACGGATTTTAAATACACACCTGTTGTGAGGATCTTTTTTTAAATAATGTCATTGTCGATCTGCTGTTGGAAAAAACTACAAACCTTTCGGTACCTCCAGATGCGGCAATATGAACTGTCTGTGTTATCGCTAGAAGAAATCTCCCCAAAAATTTTGGATTTACCAAAAAATTCCGCGTACCTAGACCTGACACTCCTTGACCAACTGAGCTACCGGTGACATAAATCGTAAAATCATTCTTTTGCTACAATCGGAGTATTACCGACATGTAATGCTTTTTTGTACTGGCTATTGACAAGAAAGAACTAAGATCTGTTTTGCACAAACCTCTACTTTGTACAAATCTCCAGACTGAAATAGGTTTCACTTTGTTGAAAATGCGATAAATTTTAAATAGTAATTTCGCTTCACATGTGCTGGGGGCTATCACCCGGTCTGAAAATTTTTGGTTTGGAATTTCTTTAGCTGTCAGAAGTAAAGCCCTTTTAGAGATCGGCACCTCATCAACAGCAGCTCTAAGAATGGAAACCATGGCTGAGCAGGAGAGATCTGTGCACCGTTTTAGCCGTTTGTTTTGAAAAGTCTTTATTATTTTCGTAACATAGTCCGCAATGGTGCAAGTGGGGGAGGCGAAATATCTATTTTTGAGCAATCAAATGATTTGTAAATTGTGCGTGCTTTCCTTAGGGAAAACCCCGTAAAAACAAAAGTCACCAGATTAACAATGTTAGACCCAGACTGAGATTTATTAAGAAATTTGGATCGATAGGCTTGCGTTAATAAGCCTGCCGACGAACTTAAAAGAAGTCGTTTGATTAAACGCGGTTCCTCTTTTCTATGTAAATTTGATGGGAAATGCCATAACTTTCGTAACATATATCGTAGCTAGGCAAAAGTCGTTGTACATTTTATGGAGATTATATTATTATTATAATTTTTTGTCTCCGTAGATTTATACATTTTTATAATAAGTTTCATAATATTTAACTAGTACAAGCACTATAGTCGGTCAAACGTCACCTTAACCATACAACACTCTCACAATTCTTCAGCCGTTATGTTAGAAGTGATCGAAGAAGTGGACCGATCCGAACTCTTCTCAATAGCGTTCATCCTTGCGTCAAACCGCGTCAGTATATCAAATAGCACCAAAATGTCTCGAAAATTCCGACCTACAGCTTGAACATATGTTTCTATGGTAACAGATTAGTCGGACAGACAAACGGATGGACACACAGAATCATTCTCTAAATCGATCAGTATAATAAATGCGTCTATCTTAAGCCCTTTTTTGGTGTTACGTACGTGCGTACAAACTAATGCGCCCTGCCTCACAGGTAAGGTAGGATACAAAAAACATATTTTCATTCTTTATTATCTCTTCATATATTTTCTAATCTTGCATTAATTTATTACGACTAACTCATCTCTTAAAAATATTAAACTTGTTTATTCTATAATATTTTAGAAGCTTACCGTAAATCATCATTTCCATTGAGTGGAAATGTAAAGGGTGGGTTTTTTTAAAAACGATTTTTTGGAATTTCCGATAATAGTTTTTGAAACAGCAATAACGGCGAATAGTAATTAACATGGCGACAAATGTCTTATTAGAGCCGCTAATTTCAATATTATTATGCCGAAAATTATCCGAAATATCATTAAGGAAATCCAAAAAGTTGAAATCCTAACAGCAATCATTGTTTTCATTTTCATAGAACTTCGATGAGCTTCTTCTCATTTTCATAGAACTGACTACAGCTTTTTTTCAAGTACGCACCGTTTTTTGCACTTGCAAATAAAATGATATGCGACGCCTTGAAAACACAATTTTTCTTTGTTTCGCTTTCAAGTTGTAATAAATAATGGCACATAAGCGAATTAGCGTTAGTCAGTTTAGAAAATTTCCTAAATCGTACTCTCTTAGTAGGAACATTCTACTTCCGGTGTTATCAAACTTATAAAAACTTGGATTTAGAACGTCAAATTGGGAATAGGCAAGTAAAACTTCTGACCTAATGAACTAAGTATAGTAAAAAGTAAAAAAAAGACGTGGCGCAGAAGTAACAAGACGTTAATCAAATATAGTTTAATTACGATATAGGAAGAAATAGAAAAGTAAAAAAAGGATAACAAATATATACCAAACCTATATACCTAACTTTATTAAGGCCCAAACGAAGAACCATCTCCGTCTCCATCTTTTATTTGGATCCTACCCTAATAAAGATTTTCACTAAAATTGGCCGTTTGTAAAGCAGAAAGTTAAGTTTTAACATGTGTGTGTAGTAATTTCATATAAAACTGAACTCTACATTGTTTGCACCGTCGCCATCAAATTTTGGATTCTGTCTTGTGTAGGAATTAAACTTGTACTACAGCAGCTTGCGTTTTGGCCCCGCTGCCCCACGCACTTTACATAGAAACAAGACAAAATTTTTGTGTTCTATAAAAAAATAAGAATTAGACAATGTGGCGTAGGGTATTTAATGGTCGACCTTGTCCGACTATAATGTTCTAACTTGTTTTTTCTTTCTATTCGAGGAGTGGGAAGTAACAAAAGTCTAAAGTCAGTTTGAAATGAGACTGGTACTCTTTAAACGTCTTCACACGTCTGCCATAAAACAGGCTTTCCCATCGGATGGATTACAGTTTATATATCCAGCAATCAACGTTAGCTTTGTTTTTTACGCTCGCATTCGATCATTCCGTTGACTTACACAGCCTGCTTCTCATAGTCAATGCCATTTTTCGTATTTGGTATATTGTTTTCAAAATCATTGAATTTTGTAAATTCCCATAAATATTTTAAAGATTTAAGCGCAAAGAGACCACCACTGAATATGTGTGGCCTGGTCGTTTATTTCAGTGCATTTTAGAACAATTTACATTTTTCAGCACAAAATTTTATGTTTACATCGTTCTGCCGTTTATTTTGTTATTTTCTCTCTTTTCATTGCTCGTTTTACTTTTTAGTAAACCTTTCGAAGTTTTGTGGGGACTAAATTTTTCATTTGAGTCTCACGAGTCGTCAAACTTGTTGGATATGTAATACGTATTGAATGGGTTCGAAGACTTAAATTAAGCATTTCAATTCGATTGAAGACTCATTGCAACCTATCGTTGTCTCTTTAAAACCACCCCGAAATTGCTTTTCAAACCCTACAAACCCTCAACAAGCGTTACAAACAATCAAAACAGCCAAGAATCAACCGCGATCACGCCAGACAAATTGCTTTTGGTCGTAGTATCTCAAAAGAGCGTACGTTTGCGGAGGAAAAAAAACGGCTTGAAAATATTTTACCATAGTCGCTTTGCGGCGCGGAGACCAGTACAAATATTTTACGGAAATGTATGCAAAGCAAGTGGGAAGATTATAAATTACACGAAATACCAAAATTTCGCGAACTTCCTGATTACCTTTTCGCCTTTCGAGATTATTCTCCTCGCACATAGCGCGCATTTTTAATTTGTTGTTCCTTTTAAGAGAATAAAAGAAAAAAAACAACACTAAAAGACATTTTGTTCTTCGGGATTTAAAGCATAGCTAAGTTTCTTGTAGGATAGGTATACCGAAATGCTGCTGCAAATTTTGTCCCTCAATAAGCGCAACGAAAATACCAGATAAAAACGTCGTAATCGGTTCTTACGAATATAAGCCTTACAAGAAGTGAGTGAGAAGAAGATGTTTTATCATCCATCGCTAGATACACGTCTTTCACATCTATCCAACATAATATAAATTTTGGGTTGTGAAAGACCGTCCTTTTCTTAATATAGTCATAAGGATGCAAGTGCCGCTCAATCACAATAGTCCACTGATCGATTAAAAAAGGAATCTCTGATGATTAAAGACACATTCCAGTTCAGTGCTGTTGAAATAAGAGGACAAATGCCGTCTTGCTGAGAAATCTCCGTTTCAGCAATATCTTCCCGCAGTCGTTTTGCTTTTAATAATTGGCACAACTGTATCAGTTGTTGTTCTTGCTGTTCACCCACGATTGTTTTTGTTCTATAGGAGCATCTCATAACACCCTACAGCTAGCTAAACGCTGTTGTTAAATGAGGTTGCGCAGGATATCCGCCTTTACCGGCGACGTCGCTAATTTGCTTGATCAGTAGACTCATTTTTTAAGCTTTTGACACTGTTTCATTTCCATTTTCTATCACTCGTCACGACTTAAGGACATATGCTGTGATTTAAGAAGAAGAATTGACAATTCCAGCCGGCAAGGCAACACTTTTTGACACAGAATTCGGCTCACTCATCAACGCTGCCATACACTTTGTTGGATGCATTTACTTCACCCAGGGTAATAATTCGTAGTGAAAATCTTGAAATATAACGTCTTTCTCTACGTAAGGCGGCAACAATTCCTTTTTCTTCGTAAACTTTCTTATCACTGCACTTCGTCATTGTACATTTGAAAAAAAAAA